CCATGACCTCCCCGCGTCGCACGTCCCGACCGCGGACCAGTTCAAGGCCATGCTCCACGGCCCCGCGATCGAGGCCGCGTTCGAGAGAATCTCCGACGGGTGCTTGACCCCGGAGACGTTCTCGCCCGACTTCTTCGTCGTCCCGAACCAGGGCGCGAGCCACCCCGTCGACGGCTTTCTCTGCGGCAAAGACGGCCAGCCCGAGGGCTTCTTCGAAACCTCGGAGCTCTGGGACGTCGGCGCGTTCCCGCGTCCGCGACGGCCGCGGTTCCGCGCGCGCGATATCGTCTTCCCTCGCAGGCTTCGACCTCGCCGACTACGACGGCGTGTATTTCGCGCCCATGGGCCATTGCGTGACGTCCGGATCCGCGGGCGTCATCGACTACGCGGGCCTCATCGACGGGCGCCGCATCTACGACGTGACGGGCATCTTCCTCGGCTTTAACTTGGACGCGGTCTGCGAGTTCGAAGCCGCGGACTGCGACTTCGACGGCGTCGGCGCGGACCCCTACTGGCCGCCCTTCGACGGCGCCCTCGCGGGCACCTACGTCCACGAGCTCCTGCACTGGATGGGCGCCGGCTACCACTCGAACTTCTACGAGTGCGCGGATCCGAAGAGGGACCTCCTCGACCCGACGCGCTGCCCCGCCCTCGAGTACGGCGACGCCTACAGCCTCATGGGCACGAGCAGCGGCATCGCGCTGAACCTGCCGGCCTACACGCGCTACCACTTCGGCTGGCTCGGCGAGGACGACGTCGAGGTCGTGCAGACGCGCGGCGAGTTCCGACTCGCGGCCGTCGACGCGCCCCGCGGCGGCGCCGCGAAGCGCTTCGCGTACCTCCCGGAGTCGGACCTCTACGTCCACTGGCGGAGCGCGTCGGACCTCCGCGGGGACCCCGCGACGCCCGAGCCCGCGGACGAGTACGCGGGCTTCTTCGTCCACCGCTGGCAGACGCTCGTCGACGCGCACGTGACGTCGTGCGCCGCGGGCGCCGACGAGGTCCAAGAAGTGACGCTGAAACCGAACGCGACGTTCCTCATGAAGTCCCAGGGCGTCGTCCTCCGCGCGGGCGAGGCCGCCGGCGACGCGCGCGGCCTCGAGGTCCACCTCACGGGCGAGGCGCCGCTCTGCGTCCGCGACCTGCCGAGGTTCGAAGTCGGTCTCTTCGGCGTCTTTCACAGCTGCGACTGCGGCGAGAGCTACTACTGCGAGGACGGCGCGTGCGGCGACGGCGGCTACCCGTTCCGGCCGTTCCGGTCCTACGCCGACGGCGTCGACCGCGTCGGCGACTACCCCGGCGGCGTGACGCTCCACATCGCGCGCCACCTCGTGAACACGGACTGGAGCCCGGGCTGCGAGCCCTGGTATCGCGAAGTGCCCTTCACGCTCGCCGTCGCGCGCACGGAGCTGCCGGAGGGCTACGGCTTCGACGCGCAGGTCCACCACATGGAGCTCCGGGCGAGCCAGAGCGCCGAGAAGGCCTTCGCGTTCGGCCTCCCGGCGGACGTGCCCGACGGCGACTACGACACGTGCCTCACGGCGACGAACGAGGACACGGGCCTGCGCGCGGCCATCCTCTTCCGCCTCACGCTGCCCCACGACCGGGGGCAGTGGTGGACGAACAACCGGCCGGCGGAATACGCCGGCGTCGACCCCGAGCTCGCGGCGTTCTGCGCGTCGCTCAACGGCTGCGGCCGCGCGGACGGCGACTGCGTCGGCTGGGTGGACCCGGCGCTCCACCCGCCGGACCACTGCGACCTCGACAAGGCCTGCGACGGCGACGACGCGGGCTTCGGCCCCGAGGGCCGCTGCTGGGGCGACGGCGCGTCCTGGCGCGGCCGCGACCAGTGCGGCGTCGACCAGTCGTTCTGCGTCGGCGGCGCGCCGCTCCTCGACGCGCCGCTCGCCTGCGACGACCCGCTCCCGCCGCCGTGCCTCGACCACTGCTTCGAAGACGAGACGATCTGGAACAAGTTCGTCGACGAGGAAAAATTGACCGACGGCAACTGCGGCGGGCAACACGCCCTCTGCGCCGGCGACCTGTCCGCGAACGAGGCCGACTCGCTCTGGGGCACGCCGTTCTGCGAGACGGAGCACCTCATGCCCTGCGCGCCGAACGGGAGCCACTACTCGAGCGGCCACCTGACGAATCGTCACAGATGCTGGCAGAACGGCGGCGACGCCGCGGATATCGCCTGCGCGCGCGCGCTCTGCGAAGCGACGCCGAAGTGCGGCGGCTACACGATCGACACCCCGGCGAACGCGGCGGAGAGCTACGGGAAGGTCCTCTGGTTCCAGACCGTCGCGATCGAACGGCCGGACGGCGATAACTGGCGCTACGAGTGCTGGCGGAAGCCGCAGTGGGAAACCAAGGAGCCGTGCCACTGCAACGCGCCGGGCGAGCAGACGCAGCCCGCGGGCGCGTGCGCGTCGCCGGGGGCCAACGCGACGACGACGACGGCCGCGCTCTCCGCCGCGCCGACGCCCGCGCCGTCGGAGGCGCAGACGCCCGCGCCGTCGCCCGCGCCGTCGGAGGCCGTGTCGCCCGCGCCGACGCCCGCGCCGACCGGCGACGCGGCCGCCGCAACGTGCGAAGACGACGCGGCCTGGCTCGCGAAGTCGAATAAGAAGGCGAAGAAAAAGTGCCCGAAGAAGACGACGAAGAAGAAGTGTAAAAAGAAGTGCGCGTGGATCGAGGACGCGTGCGTCGAGAAGCTCCAAACATGCGAGGACACATTCTACAAGAAAGGAAAGCCCCAAAAGGAAGGCGCCAAGCTCGCCAAGGCCTGCAAGAAGCAGGGCACGATCGGCGGCGCGAAGAAGAAGGTCAAGGCCAGCGCCGCCTGCCAGAAGGCGTGCGGCACGTGCGACGAGGCCGGCGCGGTCGTCGGCGCGACGACGACGACCGCCGGCTTCGCGAACGACCGCCGATGGTGCCCCACGCCCCGACCGTCGTCCGCGCCGACGCCGACGCCGACGACGGCCGCGCCGTCGCCCGCGCCGACGAAGTTCACGGTGAGCGAGTGGACCGAGCTCACCACTCCCGACGGCGAAGAAGGCCACTGTACGCCGTACGGCATGCTCTGCGACACCGACGGCGCGGCCTACGGCAGTGCTCTCTGCGACGACTTCTACACCAGCGGGGACATGATGGGGTCGCATCCGTGCAAGCTGGGCGGCTGGGACGAGAGCGTCGCCTGCGTCCGGGAGCTGTGCGAGGGCTCGGAGCTCTGCGGGGGCTACACCTTCAGCCCGGGCCCGTACTGGTGGAGCGTCAGCCTCTATCCGGTCGGCTTCGGCGCGCCGACCTACCGGCTCGCGAACACGCACTGCTGGAAGAAGCCGGACGCGAGTTCGGCCGGTGCCGTCGTCGGCGCGTCGACGACGACCGCCGCCTTCGCGGGCGATCTCGGCGAGGGCGAGTCGTGTGGCTACGGCGAGTGCGCGGCCGGCCTCTCGTGCGACCGGAATCCGGCCGACGGGACGAGGACGTGTGTCCGCATCGCGACCGATCGCGGCGAGGGCGACGCGTGTGGCCCGTACTGGGCTGGCTGGCACTACGGCGAGTGCGCGGCCGGCCTCTCGTGCGAGTGCGCCGGAATGTGCGCCGACCCGATGGTCGCCGATTACCCCACGACGTGTGTCCGCTCCGGAGATGGTCCCTCGTGCGAGTCGAAGAAGGGCCGCGACTCCGAGTCCTGGCACCGGAAAGACGCCCCGACGAAGACCTGCGAGTGGGTCAAGAAGAAGCCCTCGAAGCGGTGCCGCAAGAAGGGCGCGACCGGCGCTCGGGCGGAGACGGAGTGCGTCCGCGCCTGCGCATCGTGCCCCTCCGAGGGCGCGTGCGCGGACGACGCCACGTGGTCGCACACCAACAAGAAGAACAAGAAGCTCGACTGCGTCAGCGTCGCGCGGAACCCCGGCCGCCGCTGCGGCCTGTCCGGTGCCGCGGACGCGTGCCGCGCGACGTGCGGTACGTGCGACGAAGTCCCCTAGAGTAGAGCGCCTAAGATCATGAAGCCGAAAGGAGCGCCTGGGGACTTGTCGCGGTCTCCAGGCTGCGTTGGACGGCGCTAGCCTCCTAAAGCCGAGTCGTGACTCGTAAGCGACCCGGTCGCCGCGCGCGGGTTTCGCGTTTAGTGGTCTTCACGATCGCCGACCTGATCCGCGTGCGCCGACGGCCGCCCACGGGCGGCCGCCAAAGTCCCCACGTTAAAGCACCCATAATAATAATAATTACACATAATCGAGCGTCGCTCGCGCGCGCGCGAGGGGGTCATTAAAAATGGAGGGGGTTTATCAAACTTGCGCGGCCACCCTCAGCTCCTCCTCCGCCGGGCGCCCCGGCGCCGCCGAGTCGTTTTCTTGCGCCGCGGTGTTCGCGCGCCGGCGTCGCCGCACGCGGAACACGCAGCACTCGTAGACCGCGCCACCGACGAGCAAAGACAAACAGGCGCTCAGGACGAGCGCGAGGACGAGCTCTTTATCAGCCATCGCGCCTTGATCCTCTTTCGATTGGGCGTGCGCACGGTCTATTCGCCACGATGTGTATCGAAACCCTGTTCCTCCTTCGCTTTAGGATCCTTTGGCCGTCGAGCGGTGCGATGAGGAGCACTGAGAGGGCGGCTAGGGCTGTGACGAATCCACCGGGCGGCGTGTTGAGCGCACGCAGGCGACGAGTTTGGCGGGCAACCAACTTGCTCCAAAGGCAAATTGCCTCAGCTCGCCGAGCTCGGCTCACCGCGCCTTAGGAGGCGTCTTAGGCCTATAGGCCTCGCCTTGGCGACGCCTTTGACGCGTCTGCGGCGATTGAGGCCTCGACGGAGTCCTCGATGGCACTCGACGTGCTTTAGTAGGGAGTGGCGGAGGAAGCTATTGCGACGAGGAGGTCCGCGTAGATGAGGAGGGCGTGGTGTGAGCTGGTAGACGGCCGCGGCGTTCGCGACGTTCGCGGCCACGTCGGACTTGCACTCCGCGACGAGCGCCGGGAGGGTCTTGAGGATGCGCGGCGCGACGCGTCCGCGGCAGCGCCAGCGCGTCGTCACGAAGCGCGGGACCGCGAGGCGCGCGCGGCGCCGCGCTTCAAGTGCCATTCAACTTTCCCCGGCCGGCTCGGACGGGCAGCCGATGGCGAGCAGATCTGCACCGATCTGCTCCTTCTGAGCTCGCACGCACCCCCCGCGACCACGACGCCATGCGCGCCGCGCGTCTCCTGCTCGCAACGATCATCGCGACGACGACCGCCGTCGAGCGCGTCGCCAACGTCATCCTCGTCGGCGGCAACCTGACGCTGGGGTCGCGGTCCATCTCGCTGGCGCAGTACGACGTCGCGGCGCGGGAGTGGAGCGACGCCTACGAGCCGCAGCTCTACGTCTACGGCGAGACGGGCAAGGACGCGGCAGTATACGGCATGGCCGCGAACCGGTCCGGTTCGCCGGACCGGCGCGCGCCCGAGGAGGCGATCGTCGTCGGCCAGTTCGACAGCATCAGCGAGACGTCGCAGTCGCAGTACTGCTCCGTGGGCCGCTGGACGGGCATGCGCAATCCGGGCAAGGCGTTAGCGCGCGTCGGCGACGGCGGCCTCTGCAGCCGCGCGTCGGATCCCGCGACGCGCATCTTCGCGACGACGCTCGGGCGCCGCGAGGAGCTCTTCGTCGGCGGCGCCTTCTCGAGCCGCGTCTGGGACGGCGCCCACTTCGTCAAGGTCGAGCACGTCGCGCGTTTTGATAGTAGGCGCAACCTCTGGATGCCGCTCCGCGGCGGGTCGCCGTCGCTCTCGGCGCCGTGCGGCTCCAAACCCGCGCGCGGCCCGGGCAACGCGTCCGCCGTGTCCGTGCTCGCGCTCGCCTATCTGGACGGGGCCCTCTTCGTCGGCGGCCGCTTCGACGCGCTCGGGGGCGCCGCGACGTCGCCCGGTTTGGTCGCGTGGACCGAGGCCGGGGGTTTGCAGCCGTTCCCCGGCGGCGGCCTCGCGCGGAGCGACGGCGCGGGGCCGGGCGTCGCCCACTCGTTGGCCGTCGACGCCGCGGCGGGCGTGCTCTACGTCGGCGGCCTCTTCGACGCGCTCGGGCCGCTGCCGTGCGACTCGCTCGGCGCGTTTCCCTGGAAGGACGACGAGGCGGAGCGGACCTGGACCTGCCTCCACGACGCGGCCCACGGCTTCGCGACGTCCAAGGCGCCCCTCCAGCTCTTGTACGACGGCGCGGCGCTCTTCGTCGCCGGCTACCCGGCCGAGGGCGGCGCGTGGTGGGCGCAGCACGCGGCGACTGCGGCGATCGCGCGCTTCGGCCCCGACGCGGGCTACGACCCGCCGGCGAAGCGGCCCCGGGGCGACGACGACGAGCGGGATCCGAAGGCGAAGCACCGCCGGGGCCCGTCGGCGCGGCGCCGCGCGGCGGCGCGGCGGCCGGCGCCGGCGCCGCGGCGGCCACCGAACGGCAACGGCACGGCCGCGCTCCGGGCGGCGACCTGGGAGTGGCTCCCGGGCTGGCGCGGCGCCAACGGCACGGTGCTCGCCCTCGCGCCGGGCGTCGGGAGCCTCGCGGGGTCCGTCGTCGTCGGCGGCGACTTCGACGGCGGCCCGCCGGTCGTCGTCTGGCGCCGCGACGACACGCTCGGGCCCTACACCATGGGCTTCGCGGGCGTCGGGCCCCTGGGCGGCACGGTGACGGCCGTGACATCGCTCTACGCCCTGCGGCCGCCGCCGCGCGGGGGCGACGCGCCGCCCGCGCGGCCGAGCGCCGTCTTCGTCGCGTTGCTGTCGGGCACGTGCCTGCTCGTGCTGGCCGTCGCCGCGTTCCTGGGCCGGTCCTGCAAGCTCAGCGCCTACGGCTACGGGTCCCGCAAGCCGCCGGGCATCTCCCTGCAGACGCTGTCCTACGGCTTCGCGCCGGACCTCGACTTCGAGTTCTCCGACGCGTACGAGCACGCGATGCGCGCGCGGCACCGAGCAGGAAACGAGTGATTCAACGTCGCTTCGACGTGATGGTTCCGCGCGCGATTGTTCCAGAGAAAGGATCCACGCTTCGAGAGCGCTCCGAGAGATCATCGCTCGTCCAAAAATCAGCCGAAACGAGTGGAAAACGGCCGAGAGAGGAGCCTTTGAAGTTGGGAATTTCGCACTCTTTTCCTGCCCAGGCGCGGCACCTCGCGAACCGCCACGCGCTGGTCATGATCGACCCGTCGGAGATCGTGCTGCGGGACGTCATCGGCGAGGGGTCCTTCGGGCGCGTCTGGTCCGCGAGCTGGCAGTCGTCGGAGGTCGCGGTCAAGGAGTTCGTGCTCGCGCAGGCGGCGTTCGCGGGCGGCGCGATGCACCGGCGCGACATCATCGAGGAGATTGTGGGCGAGGCGGGCATCATGGCCTACCTGCGCCACCCCAAGATCCTCCAGCTCTACGGCTGCTCCCTGACGGCGCAGGCGATCTGGATCGTCTCGGAGCTGTGCTCGCACGGGTCGCTCCGGTCCGTGCTCGACGACGCGTCGCTGGAGCTCGGGCTCGAGACGCGGCTCCGCATGGCCATCGACGTCGCCGAGGGCATGCTCTACCTCCACACGCGGGACCACCCCATCGTGCACCGCGACCTCAAGTCGCACAACCTCTTCGTCGCCGAGGTCCGGGGGCGCATGCACGTGCGCATCGGCGACTGGGGCTCCGCGCGGGCCGTGGCCATGAGCCCGGACTTCTCGCGGACCATGACCCACGGCGTCGGCACGACGTGCTGGCTCGCGCCGGAGCTCATCAAGGACGCCAAGGGCAGCGAGCGCATCGACGTCTACGCCTTCGGGATAGTATTGTGGGAGCTCGCGACGCGCGAGGAGGTCTACGGCGACCTGAGCGCGGCGCAGATCATCTCGCGCGTGGCCAACGAGGGCCTGCGGCCCGAGCCGCCGCAAAACTGCCCCTGGGGCGACCTCATGGAGGCGTGCTGGGCCGAGGACCCCGTCGACCGCCCGGGCTTCGACGTCATCTTCTCGGAGCTGAACCGCATCCACGAGGAGCTCACGGGCGACGTCCTCGAGAGCGCGCCCCTGGACCTGCCGCCGAGCCGCCACCCGGGCCGCGGCCGCGCGAGCCGGAGCCGGAGCCGCGGTTCCGGGTCGCGGTCCGCGGGCTCCGCGGCGCGCGCGTCGCTCCGGGCCCAGCGCTGGCACCCCCAGCCGCCGGGCGAATCGGGCCTCCTCGCCGCCTTCCGGTCCCTGAGCGGCGGCCAGCGGCCGCCCGCGCGCCACTCCTACGGCGCGGACGCGCGCGGCACGCAGAGCGGGTAACGGGAAAGCGAGGCGGCGTGTGTTTATACGAGGGGCGGGGGGCGCCGTCCTTGGTGCTCTAGAAGCTCTCGTGGATCTTGGCGGCGATGGCGAGCTGGGCCTTGGTGATGCTCGCGAGGTAGGAGACCATGACGATGTCCTGCGCGTCGACGTTCTTGGACCCGTCGAGCACGCCGGGCTCGATCTTGGGCAGGGCCGCGAGGGCCTCGCCGATACACCTCGCCACGGCCGGGTCCGGCGTGACCTCGCCGGATTTGCACTTCTTCGCGTACGCGAGGATCTCGTCGATCTGGCCCAGCAGGCCCTGGAAGTCGTCGCGGACGTCGTCCGCGTCGGACGGGAGCTCCGCGAGGGACTCGGCGGTCGCGAAGGGCTCGTCGCCCTGGCCGCGGATCATGCGGTCGATGCAGACCTTCTCGCCGTCGCTGAAGGTCAGCGACGACGGCACGGGCGCGAACGCCGCCGCGGCGCCGTCGGCGCCCGGCGGCCCCCGGTGGTACGCGGCCGTCTCGACGCCCTTGCCGTCCCGGAGCGACGCGTCGACGACGACGTGCACGGGCGCCGCGCACTCGCGCGAGTAGAAGTCGTGGATCAGCGCCGTGCCGTCGTCCTGGACCGCGCCGCCGCCGCCGGTCGCGTACCATCCCACGACGCGCTCCTCGGAGTTCACGCGGCTCAGGAGGCCGAACATGGACTTGTTGAAGGCCTGGCCCACGGCGACCTCGCCGCCGGACTCCGTGTGCGGCACGGCGTAGGCGTTGCTCACCTCGACGACGCCCGTCTCCTCGTCGAGGTGGCCCAGAAGCGTGCCGATGACGCGCTCCTGGCCCTCCTGCCGCCGGATGTAGTGGTCCAGGATGCCGAAGACGACGATGGGGTGCACGATCACGGACTTCGGCGTCACCGCCGGGGTCTCGGGGTCCACGGGCTCCTCGGTCGACATCGCTGCTCGCGCTCGCCGAGGGGGTCGGCGGCATCTTCGGGTGCACCTTCTCTTGCCACCGCGAAGTTGAAGTAGACTTTATGTATGATGGACGACCGAGCCCCAGGTCGTGTGATGATGGACGACCGAGCCCCAGGGCCAGGCCTCCGGCTTCAAGCCCCACCGTCACCCTCGCGCAGCGCCGGTCGCCTCGCACGCAGCCCCTCGAGCCGGGCCTGCGTCCTGTGCGCGCTGCTCCACGCAGCCTCGTCGCAGTACTTCCCGCGAAGACCCCCAGCGGGCCCGCGCCGGCTCCAGGGCGGTCCCCCGCCCGGCGGCGGCGCGCCGCCCGACGGCGGCGGCGGCGGCACGTCGGGGACGAGCTCCGACGCCTGCCCCGGCGCGGACGGCGAGGCCTGCGAGGCCGACGGCTCCACGGGCTACGCCGACGCGTCCGGGCTCACGTACGACGCCGCCACGGGCCTCTTCGCCGGCGAGCTCGTCACGAACGGCTGCAACGACCACGAGCGGCGCTACTCGAGCGGGCTCTTTGACGGCGCGTCCTACGCGGCCTGCGAGTCGCAGACCATCCCGACGGCGTCCGCGCGGTCCGCGGTGCCGACGCTCGGCCGCGCGGGCATGACGCTCAGCGGCGGCGTCAACATCTACAGCGCCTTCGAGGCCGGCTTCAACGACTGCGCCGACGGCATGCCCTGCGCCTGCTACGGCGCCGAGTGCGCGGGCGGCGTCGACGTCCGGACGTGCGAGGCGCACCTCGAGCACGCCTGCAGCACGTCGGTGACCTACGAGATGTTCGTGGACACCTGCGGCGGCCACGCGGACCCCTACCACATCCACACCGACCCCATCTGCAACTACGGGTCGTCGGACGGCGGCCACTCGACGGCCGTGGGCGTCATGCTCGACGGACGGGTCGTGTACGGCGTCATGGAGTCGGAGGCGTCGCGGCCCTGCGACCTCGACGCGTGCCTCGGCCACGTGGGACCCGTGCCCGCGAACGACGCCTACGGCATCGCCGAGGGCGACGCGATCTACCACTACCACACGAGCGACTCCGAAGCCTTCCCCGGCACCTGGACGCCCGCCTGCTACGGGTCGCCGGACGTCGCCGTCACGCGGTCCATGTGCGAAGACTTGTACGACGAGTGCGGCGACGACGCGACCACGTTCTCCACGGCCGACGGCGACGTCACCGTGGACCTGTACTGCCCCTGCTTCGACCCGCCGGCCTTCGACGAGTGCGCCAACGCGCCGACGGCGGCGCCCGTCGTCGCGCCGACGCCCGCGCCGTCGCTGTCGCAGCGGCCGACCGCGGAGCGCGACGACGACGACGGCGCGCGGCGGCCGCCGCCGCTCGCGCACCTGCTCGGGCCCTTGGCGGCGGGCGGGGCCCTGCTCCTGTGCTGCGCGGCGGCGGGCCTCGCCGCGTCGCTCCGGCGGGACAAGACGCGCGAGAAGCGGGAGGCGCTCGAGGCCGCCGCGGCGGGCCCGCGGGGCTCCGACATCGAGCTCCCCCCGACGACCAAGGCCGGCGCGACCGCCGACGCGCCGACCGCCGCCGACGACGACGCGAAGAGCGACGAGGCGCCCGCGCGGGAGATGGTCTAAGCATGGGGCTTCAAATAGAGCGAATTAGTAGGCCCGCCCCGCGTGCTTCCGGCGGAGCGAGTCGCGCAGCAGCAGCACGCGGCGCCGCGTCGGGTGGCCGTCCGGGAGCGAGCGACACGCGAGGCCGCCGGCGCGTTCGACGAAGGGCAGCGCGCCCTCCGTGTCGCTCCGCGCGTCGTAGAGCATGCAGAGGTTGAAGAGCGTCGGCACGAGCTTGACGCTGTCCTCGCCGTGGTGCCTCTCGAAGATGGCCAGCGCGCGTTTGTACGCGGACTCGGCCTTGGCGCCGTGGCCCTGGCGCGACGTCAGCGCGCCGATGTTGTTGAGCGTCGGCGCGATGGACACGTGGTCCTTGCCGTGGCGCAGCTCCTTGATCTCGACGCAGCGGCGGAAGAGGTCCTCGGCGTCGGCGTACTGCTCCTGCTCCTGCTGGAGCACGGCCAGGAGGTGGCACAGGCTGCTCGCGACGCCGTCCGAGTCGCCGCCGAAGAGCTCCTCGCGGATCTTGAGCGCGCGCTCGTACTTCCACTCGGCCTCCTGGCTGCGGGCCGTCGCCTTGAGGACGTGGGCCAGCGCGTCGAGCGCGGCGGCGACCTCCGGGTGCGCCGCGGGCCGCGACGCCTCGGCGATCTCGAGGCACCGCCGCGCGAGGGGCTCCGCGCGGTCGTAGTCCTTCCGCGACCGGTGCAGGGCCGACAGGTGGCGCAGCGTCGACCCGACATCGGCGTGGTCGGGCCCGAAGCGCTTCGTCCGGATCCGCAGGCAGCGGTCCAGCGCCGGCTCCGCGTCGCCCGGCCGGCCCGTCGCGAGCGCGAGCGCGCCGACGCACCTGGGCAGAAAAATAGTCAACACGACTTCAATATGCATGTATGCGCACGATTTAGTTTTTTCGTTGTCTCAAAGGAACGTTCCGAGAGAAAACGATCCGTCCGAAAATCAGCCGAAACGACTTCGATGTGACCGAGCTAGAGAGGTTTGAAGTTTTCGATGGACGGGGCGTTCCACCGGTTGTTTCCCACGCAGCGGCGCACTCGAGCGTCGCGGCCACGTCCGGGTGCTCGGGCCCCAGCGCCGCCTCCTTGATCGCCAGGGCCCGGTCCACGGCGGGCCGCGCCTCGCCGTAGCGGCCGTCGGCCCGCAGGAGGTTCGCGAGGTTGTGCAGCGCGCGGCCGACGTGCGCGCTGTCGGCGCCAAAGCGGCGCTCGTAGATCGCGAGCGCCTCGCGGTAGAGCGGCTCCGCGTCCGCGTAGCGCCCCCGCAGGGTCAGGATGCCCGCGAGGTTCGCCAGGGACACGCCGAGGTCCTGGTGGTCCGGCTCCAGGAGCCGGCGCCGCACGTCGAGCGCGCGCCGGCTCAGCGGCTCCGCGTCCGCGCAGCGGCCCAGGTCCCGCAGAGCCCCGGCCAGATTCGACAACGAGATCGCGACGTCGGCGTGGTCGTCGGGCCAGCGCGCCTCCCGGATGCCCAGGCTCCGCCTCAGCAAGGGTTCCGCCTCGTTGACGCGGCCGCCCGCGCGGAGGATCAGCGCCAAGTTGTCGAGGCTGTCCGCGACCTCGGGGCTCTCCTTGCCCAGCGCGTTGACGCGGATGTCCAGCGCCCGCCGGCTCCAGTCCTCCGCGCCGCGGAACTTGAGCTGGCCGCAGAGCAGCGCGGCCAGGTCCGCGCACGACGCCGCCGTCGCCGGGTGGTCCGGCCCGTACTGCTTCTCCTTGAGCTCGAGCGCCTTCTTGAAGAGCAGCTCGACGGACCGCGCCTCCGCGCCGAGGCCGCCGCCCATGGTGTGCTCGAGCACGTCGATGCGCCGCCGCGCCGCCGCGGCGTGCGAGAGCTCGCTCATCGTCGTGAGCAGGTCCACGAGGTTCTGCAGTTGGATCGCGTCGTCGTCGAATTCGCGGCAGAGCTTCGTCACCAGCGACTCCGTCGTCGAGAGCGCGGAGACGACGCGGAGCGGCAGCGCGGTCAGCAGCGCCACGCGCGACCGCCGCTTCCGCGCGTCGACGCCGCGGCCCAGGTAGGGCGCGAAGTAGTCCCGGAGCGCGAGCGCGTCGCACTCGTCCTCGACGTCCGTGTAGGACTCGAGGACGAGCTGCACCTCGCAGAGGTGCTGGGACGCCAGGTGCTCGTTGACGATGGGCACGCTCACGGAGACGAGCACGTCGCGCCAGCCCGTGAACGTCGCGTCCGTGAACCGGTTCTTCACTCGGACGATCTCGACGGTCTCGTCGAACGTGAACGCGCGGTGCACGGCGACGAGCGCCGCCTCGTCGTCGCAGACGACGGCGCAGCGCACGACGTCGAACACCGCCGACGGGTCCCGCCCGCCGCCCTCCGCGAGCTTCTCCGCGGCGCGTTTCCGCGGCTTGAGCTCCGCGGCCTCGAGGGTCACGCCCGTGACGTTCGACCGGTCCAGGGCCGCCTCGATGGTCGCCAGGAAGGGCTCGCGCGCGCGCGCCGCGACGGCGAAGAGGTCGTCGAGGCTCGCGACGGGCTTCGCGTCGAACGCGCGCTGCCGCCACCCGTCGCCGACGTTCGCGTAGACTCCTCTCTTGTCCACGGGCGCCCAGGGGATCGCCGCGGCGGCGCCCGTGAGCCGCGCGTCGGCGGCGGCGAAGGCCGCGACGCACTTGTTGAACGCGACGACGTTGTCGAAGAACATGCGGTGGAAGAGGCCCCGCACCTCCGCGACGTGCTCGAGCTCCGCCGTCGGGATCCGCGGCGACCCCGTCGTCGACGGCCGCGCGTTCGCCTTGAAGTAGGCGTCGCCTGCGCGCGACGCTGCGTTAAATCTTTTTGTTTTGGCGGCAAAAGGACGCGGCCGGACGCGCAGGTCTCGTCGTAGGCGACGCCGAGGCGCAGGCGCACGTCGCGCTCGTTCATCTTGAGAGGAGGGGGGCGCTCGGCGCTGGCGCCGGCGCCCATGGTCGGAATAGCGCGCCCGGACGCGCACCTAGCTTTTGGCCATTCGTTACTCAGCAATCAGTCCCACGGGGGCTAAGCTACATGGGGAATGCAGCCCCACCATAGCGCATCCCAAACTGGGGCGATGATGAAGCTGCCCCGACTGTTTTGGGTGATGTTGTTGCCCCGAACAAGGATTCCACCGTCACCCCGACGCCGATGGCGCCGCCGCGCGGGGGCGTGGACCTCGAGGCGTACTACGGCGGGCCGGAGAAGCCGCCGCGCGACCGCCGGTCGTCGTCGGCCGCCGCGCACACGGCGTCGCCGGTTTTCAGTTTGCGCGCGGCCCTGCAGCGCACGGACTGCCCGGCGAGCCCCTGCCCGCCGCCGCGCAAGGACCCGACGCCCTGCACGACCTTCGAGCAGCTCCTGTGCTCCTGCGGCCTGCCGCGCGGCATGCTGTCCTTCGGCTTCGGCGGGCGGCACATCAAGCGGAGCGACGACGCGCCGAGGGACCAGAGCGACGTCCGGCCCGCGGACGACGACGCCGCGGCCTACGGCTGCGCCGTGCGGCTCCTCATCGGCGGCGAGGTGCGCGAGCACGACGTCTGCGCGGCGCTCGTGCGCCGCGGCTGGCGCCGGGCCGTCGCCGAGCGCGTGAGCTACGACCTGCGCCGCGTGACCGGCGTCGACCCCGCGGACGTCGAGAAGCCGCCCAAGGCCATCGAGGCGGCCGCCGGGGAGCCTGCGACAAAAAACCCGCCCGCGCCCGCGCCGCCGCCGCCGGCGCCGCCGAGCCCCGGGTCGTCGTCCTGGGGCAGCGCGCCCGCGTCGCCCGTCGGCACCTGGGAGGAGCCCGCGGCGCCGCCGCCCGACGACGGCAAGTACGCGCGCATGCTCGCCATGGGCGTCCCCGCGACGGCCGTCGAGCACAAGATGCGGTCCCAGGGCCTGGACGAGGCGTCCATCGCCCGCGCGCTCGCCGCGGCGCCCGCGGCGCCCGCGGCGCCCGCGCCCGCGGCGCCCGCGGCGGGCTCCGCGGCGGCCTTCCCGCAGTACGACCGCATGCTGCGCGTGGGCCTGGACCTGCCCACGGTGCTCCACAAGATGCGCGCCGACGGCGTCGACGCCGCGGACGTGCGGCGCTTCGCGGACGCGCGCGGCGGCGCGCCGGATCCCGCGCCGGCGCCCGCGCGGCGGCCCGCGGCGCCCGCGGCGGCGACGCCCGTCGACGCCCCCGCGCCGTCGCCCGCGGCGCCGCGGCGCCGCGCGACGATGACGCTCCACTGGGACAAGGTCGACGCGTCGCGCGCGCCAAAGCTCTGGGCCGAGGAGCGGCCGTCGGAGGCCGCGGCGCTCGACGGCGACGACGTCGCGGCCATCGAGGCCCTCTTCGCCCAGGAGCCGCCGCGCCAGGCGCCGGCGTCGACGTCGGCGCGCCGCGGGTCCGAGCGGCGCGCGCCGCCGCCGGGCGCGGCGCTCCTCGACCCGAAGCGCGCGCAGAACGTCACGATCGCCGTGTCGCGCGTCGCGCGCAAGTTCGACGGCGACATGGACCGGCTCTGGGCCTCCGTCGCCCAGCTCGACGCCCGCCTCGGCGCCGACGACTACGAGCGGCTCCGGCCGGCGCTGCCGAGCGACGGCGAGTGCGCGGCCGTCCGGGCCTGGTTGGCGGCGACGCCGGGCCGCGACGCGGCGTCCCTGGGCGCCGCGGAGCGCTTCGTCGACGCCGCGGGCCGCGCGGGCGACCGCGCGGGGCTCCTCGACACGGCGCTGGCCGTCAGCGGCTTCGACGCGCGGCTCGTAGCCGCGGAGTCCGCCGCGGCGGCGGTCCTCGCGGCCGCGGCGGCCGTGCTCGACAGCGGCGGCCTCGCGCGCGCCCTGCGCCACATCCTAGCCGTGGGCAACGCCATGAACGCGGGCACGGCGCGCGGCGACGCCGTCGGCGTGACCCTCGCGTCGCTCGGGCAGATCGTGCACACGAAGGGCCGCGACCGGTCGACGACGGTGTTGGACTACGTCGTCCGCGCGCTGTCGAAGCGGGGCCACGCGCCGGAGGTGCGGCGCGCCGCGCGGGACCTGCCCGGGCTCGTCGACGGCGCGCGGCGCGTGCCCGTCGCCGACGTGCTCCGGGAGCACCGCGCGCTCGAGGACGCGGTCCGCGGCGCGCGGCGCGCGCTCGCGGCGGCCGCGGCGGCGGCCGCCGACCTCGACGGCGCCGTCGCCGACGAGGAGATGGAGAACATGGCCGAGCACGAGGCGCCGCGCTTCTTCGACACGTTCACGAAGTCGGCGGGTTTTTCGCTCTTCCGCGCGGCGGAGCGGCGGCGGTCGCGGTCGCCGTCGGTGCAGGCGGACGCGGCGCGGCGGCGCGGCGCCCACGCCGTCGCCGGGCGGCGCGTGGCCCGCCTGGGCGCTTTCGTGGACCGGTCCGCGCGCGCGGCGGCGCGGTTGCGGCGCCGCGTCGAGGACGTGACGTCGAAAGTCGACGCGCTCTGCGACTACTTCGGCGAGGACGACTCGACGAAGATCCTCGAGGATCTGCACGTGTTTCTCCGGGCCCTCGTCGCGGCCCTCGCCAAGGCCGACGACGAGCCGGGCGCGGCCCGCGACGCGGACTACGACATGGCGGGCGGCCGCGACGCGCGGCGCCGCATCCTCGGCCGGCGGGAGGCGCTCTTCCCGAGCAATGCCCAGTGATAAGGGCGACGTTAGTGGACTCTCTCGGGGGGGGGCACGTCGCGTTGGCCTGAATGCGTCTCTAAACTTGTCTCTAAACGTACGGCTCCAGGGAGGTCGGGCTTGCCCTTGGGACTCCCTCAGGCCGCCTTCACCACTCGCCTGTCAGACCGCAAAATTGCCACACCGCGACGCGCGCGACCCCCCGCTCGCCCTGCCCCGCGACGCGAGGAGTAGAACGCGCAGGGCCACTGGACGCTCTGCACGTCCGAAGACCAGAAGGCCTTCCCTACATTGTAGGGTGCCGTTCCGGATGGCGAAGCTCGTGCCCACTGATGATCGACTGATGCGGCTCGTTCCAGTCCTCGATTTCATCTCTGCTCACTTAGACGTCGCCGCGACGACCGCCTGTCTGAACCGCACGTTTCGTCAAGAGATGGGCGTGTTCCGCGCCCGGGTCGAGGAGGTGGGACGGATTTCGCGGCTCGCTGGCGTTGGCGGCGGCACGCGCGACGAGGAGAACAATCGAATTGAAGGTCCCTTGGCAGACACCGCGTTTCTGCTCGTGGCGCGGTTTTACAGTGGACTCTTTGGTCTTGATTTGATGAATTGCGCGCTGACACAACCACTCTTGTTTCTCCTTCCAGACGCGTGTCCGAAGCTTCGCCTGTTGGCCGTCCATCGTATTCAAGAAAATTATAATCAACAAGAGGAGTTGTCGAACCTGTGGGCGCATCTGTCCAACCTTTGGGGACCTGAACGCACAACTCCTCAGACCTTGAAGAAGCTTAAGATTCGTATGCCAAATTTACAAATATATGCTTACGACGCCCACTTTGATATGCACCTTCCACCTCATTTCTCTGGCGGCCTCCCTCCAGTATACGCGGTTGGACGCGCTGTTACGACAATTCGCGGGGCCTACACGAGGTTGTTGCTGAAATTGCATAGAGTGCCACAGGTATCGCCACAGGCGGGCCGTCCACCTACGGACGCTCGACTGGTATTTCGCGGACGCCACATCCGCGACGACGAGACCTTCTTCCAATTGCACAGGAGCTTGAGTGAAATCAACGGAAACGACGACAGCTGGTTTGAGCCACTGGACATCCACGTAGAATTTACGGAGGAGGAGGGGCTGGCAGCGTCAGCTGTGGAATTAAAAGCGGCGCTCGATGCCCTCGAGGAACCTCCTGGAGGCTACTACTAGAAGTACTAGAAGTAGTAAGAAGGGAGGAATCGAGAGCTGCTTAACGCCGACCTACTTGTAAATATTCGGGCCCCGGCGCCGCGCACGAGAACGTGCGCGATGCCGCGAGGGGGGGGCTTCTCAGCGCAACGCTGGATGGGCGGGGGGGGATGGGCGTGGAGCGCGCGGCCGGACCTTGGTCGTCGTCGGGGGCGTCAGTACTGGAGCTCGTCGACGTCGCCGTCGGGGCCGATGAGGCTCGTCTTGGCCTTGCGGCGCTTCACGGGCTTCGCGTCGTCCTCGAGGTCCGGGTCGAAGGTCTCCGTGGCCGCCGCGGGCGCGGCCGCCGCGGCCTTGGCGTCGTCGACGAGCTGCTGGGCCTCCTCGATCTCGTCGATCGTCGCCTGCGCGCGCTTGACGGACGACGCGTAGAGCATGGCGACCTCGCCCGTCTTGCCCAGGGGGCCGACCCACGCAAGGACCGCGCTGAAGAAGACGAGCGAGAAGTTGAGCGACAGCGCGATCGTGAGGAGGATGAAGATGCCGAACTTGTAGAAGAAGATGATCTTCGCGAAGAACATGGGGATCGACGCGCCGATCGTCGAGATCGCGCCGGAGAGCACGGACGAGCCCGTGTGGACGAGCGCGTCCGTGACCTTGCCCTCGCGCGTCGGCGCGTGCGACTGCATGTAGGAATCCGCGAGGTGCACCGTGTAGTCCACCGAAAACCCGATGACGATGACGATGAGGATCGACTCGAGGGGCCCCAGGCCCCAGCCGACGATCTGGAGGAAGCCGAGCACGAACGTCGCGATCATGCCGATGGTCGCCGTCGCGATGGACGACGTCACGTAGTTGCCCGTCGAGTACGTGAGCACGAGCCACGCGAGGAAGAGCGACAGGAGCATGTTCGAGATGCCCGACGGGACGAGCATCTTCGAGATGACCCACATGTTCGCGCCCGGCACGTAGACCATGGCGCGGAGCGGGTGCTTCGGGTCCGAGTTGTGGTCGTCCATCCAGTCGTCCCACTTCTTCGCCATGCGCAGGCCGACGGCGTAGTCGCCCTCCGACGCGCGCAACGTCGTCTGGACCTGCACGTCGTAGAGCGCGGGCCGCTCGAAGGTGCCGTCGCTGCGGCCCAGGAGGTAGAAGTAGTCCTCCCACCACTTGCGGTCCACGGGCCGCGCCGCGAAGGCGTCGAGCTCCTGGACGACGACGTGGTCCGGGTAGGTGCACTTGAAGCGCGTTTCGTCGCTGCTCCCCGCCGTCTCGTCGACGCAGACGCGGCTCGGCAGCGGGAAGAAGCCGACGCAGTTGCAGCCGTCGACGAGGGGCGACGTGCCGTCGAGCTCGAGCGCGCTCACGCGGCCCGTGGCCGGGTCGACGAAGCCGTCGTCGAGCGTCGCCGGGTCGGGCGACAGGTCGAAGGTCGGGAAGCAGGGCTCGCACGCGGAGACGCCGCCCTCGGCGGCGTAGGACCCGCCGCCCTGGGCCGTCGACACGTCCTCAAAGTCCCTGAGCGCGTGGAGCAGCGACTGGACGCCGTAGGCCGCCTGGACGCCCGCGGACGCGCCGGCGTCGGGCGTGTCGGCGAGCGAGCCCGTCGAGGACCCCGCGAGCTGCGCGTTGATGCCGTAGGCCGGGTCGATCTTGAGGCCGCGCCGCGGGGCGTAGGCGAGCTCCTCGGCGACGTTGAGGAGCTGCTCCTGGGCCGCGACGGAGTCGACGTCGAAGCTCGCGTCCCACTTGGCGTCGCCCGACGCCATGCCGACGAAGCGGAAGTCCGGGCCGTCCCACGCCAGCGGGTCGCGGTGCTGCAGGCCGAAGACGACGTGGACCATGAGCGGGTTCGCGCTCAGCGGCTTCCACTCCTCGTTGATGGCGTTGAGCTGGTAGAAGTTCGAGTCCTCCGGGAGGAGCGTGTAGCTCTTGAAGGGCGTCGGCTCGAGCATGGACGCGAACGCGACGGCGACGCCGAAGAGCGCGACGTGCAGCGCGACGAGCTTCTTCTTGTGCGCGAAGATGAAGGGCGCGAAGCTCGCCTTGAAGAAGTGGCCGTGCTCCTTCGGCGCGTCGTCCTCGGGCTTCAGGCACGCCGGGCGCGCGGCCCAGAGCCGGGCCCGCGCGGCGCCGAACGGGTACGCGATCTTGGAGACGTGCGACTCGTAGACCAGGACCACGGACGGCATGAACGTCGTCACCGCGCAGTAGTTCACGAACACTAGCAGCGCGGCGAAGACGCCGAAGGTCACGACGCCGACGAAGTCGGAGCTCAGGTTCGAGAGGAACGAGAGGATCGTCGTCAGGGACGTGACCATCATCGCGCCCGCCGCGTGGTGCCAGACGTGCGCGAGGCGCTGCGGCTCCGAGTCGTAGTCCACGGCGCTCGACCCCTTCCACGTGTCCCAGTAGACGAACAAGTCGTCGGCGCCGATGCCCATGATGATGAAGAGCGCCAAACCGCAGAAGACCGAGAAGTAGTTGTAGCCGAGGCCGTCGCCGTGCGGCCAGCAGTACCGGTAGAGCAGGTTCGCGCCCGTGAAGGACGTGATGACGTAGCCCATGCCGCAGGAAGCCACGAACAGGGACCCCGTGTAGTAGGCCATGTACGCGTAGACGATGGCGATGGACGCCGCGATGAGCTTCAAATCCTCGCCGACCTGGTCGCTCACGGCCTCGTCGCCGACGAAGCTGTAGGTCGTCGGGTACGACGAGTCCGCAAAGTCCTTCACGAGGTCGTCGAGTAGCTCGCGGCGCACCCAGGCGTGCAGGTGGTCCTCCTCCTTCTCCTTGGCGGAGTCGTCGTAGTACGCGATGTGCGCGCCGCCGAGGATCGCCGCCTCCGTCTCGGCGTCGACGTAGTGCGACACGGCCTTGCGCGGCGTGCCCGCGTAGGCGGCCGTCGCCAGGATCTTCGACTCCAGGTTCGACGCCGTGAAGTCCTTGTGGAGCATGTCGCGGAACGACGCCGCGTCCGTCGACGCCAAGATCGTCGCGACGGTTCCGGGAACGTCCTCGAAGTCCGGGTCGCCGTACTTGTCGAAGAGGAAGACGGGAGAATACCTGCGGGACGGCGCGATCGCGGCCGCGGCGGAAGCGGAAGCGCGCGCGGTACTAGGCGCCGCGGGACTACGGGGGCATGCAGCCGCGGGCATCCGACGCGAAGTAGGTGCCGCCGACGCCGTTGTCGACCGCCAAACTCGGCGCGACGACGCAGTCCGGGTACCCTTCCGCGTAGATCAACGCGCACCGGTCGCCCCAGCCCTCGGCCTCGGTGATCTGGCGCTCGCGCTCGCGGAGCGTGTCGAGGCCCTTCTTCGTCAGGGCGTTGCCCTTGGTCTCGTCCTCGAAGGACCCCTTGAGCACGGTCAGCGCGATGGGGTTCGCGTTGTCCTGGCGGGCGCACTTGCCGCCCGCGCGCGTGAAGTCCGCCTCGTCCTCCGCGCGCTCGAAGGCGTTGCTTCTAGCCTGGTACTCGTCGGTGGGGATGACGATGCCGACCTCGCCCAAGTTGTCGAGGTTGATGGGGTCGAGGCCCCGCACGGCGAGCGCGATCGTGAGCAGGAGGAAGCACGCGTTGATCGCGAGCAGGAGGCAGAACACGGGCACGCGGCGCGCGCACATGAGCTTGAAGACGGGCGACGCGTCGTCGTCCTTGTTCGACCGCTCGTTCTCGCCCGAGGCGATGCTCGGGAAGCCCAGGGGCGCATCCTCGTCGATGGCGGCGAGGTGGCCGTCCTCGTCAATCTGGGAGCCATCGAAGAGGGGGCCGGCGCCCTTGCCCATGGCTGTTCTCGGCGCGGGCGACGGCGAGTCGGCGTATCCGGCGTCTGTGGGTGTGGTCGAGGGCTCAACTCTGCGCGCGGCGTGCGGTGTTCAGCCTTGTTTGATTCGAGCGTCGCGCGGAATCGCGGCGATCCACTCCGACACAGGGGGATTTGCTCCGCGGTGGCGCCCCGGCCGACCCCTCTAGCGGCGCGACGCCGTACTCGAAAGTCACGATCTTGAGCGCGCGATCGAACCTTCATAGTACCGTCGACTAGGAAACCAAGGGGCACGTCCAACACCATCGATGGTGGCGAGATCGGCTGTGCCGGATTTGTCCGTAGGAGCGCGGTGGACGAACGAGGCCCGTAGGGTGGATTTTGGACCGACACCGAAACTGCGTCTCCGACGCCTTCTCCGGCACTCACCAACCGTCCAGGGCGACGCCAGGGGTCATGGGGCGTCGCCCCGACCACAAAAAGCAACCGTTCTGCACCTATACGCAGCGCATGGCTGGCGCGTATACGCGCGTATTCGTACGTAGGCGGTCCTTTTTCGAGGATATTGTGCCGAGATCGTCGAGTTAGAAAGAGCTTGCTTCACGCGAGCGTAGCCACCGGACCTCTCTCGGCGCATGCAAAAAAACGTGACTTAGACGCCGCCGTTGCGCGACGCTGCCGACGTTGCCGAAGAAATTCAGCAGATATTCAGCGATCCCGAACGAGCTGCCACTGCCGCGAAGCACACCGCCGACGACATCGCGCGACGCAACCTCAGCACAGCAGCAAACCATCATGGCCCTGCCCGACCTCGTCAAGGGCGTCCTGTCCAACGGCATCGCCGGCGCTCTCCTCTACGCCGTGGCGACGTCGCTCGACCTCGCGACCTACGTCAAGGTCGCGCTGGCCGTGCAGTACGGCGTCTACCTGGTCCACGGCCTGCCCTGCAAGAGCGAGCGCTTCTACGACCTGTCCGGCAGCCTGACGCACCTCTGCGTCATCGGCGCGGCGCTCGTGCAGGAGGCGCCGCGGACGCCGCGGCAGATCGCCGTCGCCATCGCGGGCGTCGTCTGGTGCTGCCGCCTGGGCACGTTCCTCTTCCTGCGCATCGAGAAGGACGGCCGCGACGAGCGCTTCGACGCGCTGAAGAAGCACGCGCTGCGCTTCCTGGGCGCGTGGACGATCCAGGCGCTCTGGGTGTCGCTCGTCCAGCTCCCTGTGGTCCTCGTCAACGACCGCGTCGACGACGCGCCGCTGGGCCCGGTCGACGCGGCCCTCGCGGCGATCTGGTGCGCGTCCTTCATCTTAGAGACGCTCGCGGACGTGCAGAAGTTCGTCTGGCGCTGCGACCCGGCGAACAAGGGCAAGTTCATCACGGTCGGCCTCTGGCGATACGCGCGCCAGCCCAACTATTTCGGCGAGATTTTCATGTGGCTCGCGCTCGCGGCCGTGGCGACGAACGCGGCGGCGGGCGCCGACGACTTCAAGCGCGTCGTCTGGTCCTTCGGCTCGCCGGCGTTCACGGCGCTGCTCCTGCTGTGCGTGTCGGGGCTGCCGATGGTCGACCGCGCGTCCATGAAGAAGTGGGGCGACGACCCGGCCTACCTCCACTACGTCAAGCACACGTCCTCCGTCGTGCCCTGGAAGCCCGCGCCGGCCTTCTCGAAGGAGGCGGCGCCGAAGAAGGCCAAGGCGGCCGCGGCGGCGGCGACGCCGGTCCGCCGCAACCCCGCGCGCGCGGCCAAGTCCGCGGCCAAGGCCGAGTAAGAGACCCGAGTTTTTTCAGGCCGGAGAAAGGCCCCCGTAGGTGCCCCTCAAGGTGCCCCACTTCAACGATGTCAACGATGCCGAGGCGAAGATCAACTTTTCATACACGCACGATGTTGGCGCCGTAGCGCGTTCTTCCGCGGCGGTGTGTGTGTGTGTGTGCGGTGTGTGTGTGAGCGTAGCGCACAGAGCGACCGAAACAGATGTCGACGCGGCGGTCCATGAAGGAGGAGGAGGAGCGCCCCCCGGGCTTCGAGGCGAGCTCGCTGCTGCCGTTCCCGAGCTCCGTGCGCAGCCTCCTCGGGAGCCAGGTCGAGGCGCGCCACGAGTCGGGCCCCCAGTTCAGCTTCTACGGCCCGGCGGGGACGGACTTTGGCACGCGGCGGTGCCGCGCGCGGACGAGGCTCAAGACGACGGAGTCGCCGGGCCCCGCGCGCTACTCGACGCACAACATCAACCCCGAGCTCGTCTCGACGAAGAAGCGCCAGTCGACGAGCCACGTCTTCAGTGCTCCGCGGCCCGCGTCCGTTACTTTCGCGTCCCTCGACACATGTCAAACTCGTAGGCCGCAAGGCGTCGTGGAACGAGAAGCAGATCGCGCGGCTCAACCGCCACCGCGCGCGGCAGATGGACTGGCCCTGCTCCGGCGGCATCAACCCCGTCTTCATGGAGGAGAAGCACACCCGCCAGCAGTACCCGCGGTGCCACTTCGGCGCGCAGACGACGAAGCGGCCCTTCTTCGGGCCCCTCGCAAACTCCGCGGGCGCGGCCTCGCGGCAGACGTCGAACGTCATCCCCGGCGCCCTGCGACGGGGGTCCGTCCGCGGCGTGTCCTCGAGGAGTTTACTCTAGCTTGTGTCCTCGAGGAGTTTACTCTAGCTTGTGTCCCCGAGGAGTTTACTCTAGCTTGTGTCCCCGAGGAGTTTACTCTAGCTCGCGGCTCGACCGTCGGGCGTCAGACCACGACGGCTTCGAGCGCCGTCGACTTCACGTGCACCGTCGCGAGTTCGCACGACTCCGCCTCGTCCAGTTCGCAGCAGTCCTTGAGTTCGCAGCAGCTGTAGCCCCGCACGAGGCCGCAGCCGCCCTTGGCGGCCGCGTCTTCCGCGGCCCGCTGTTCCCGCTCGATCGCGCGCGTGCGCTCCGCGGCCGCGTGGCGCTCGAAGCGCAGCTTGTGGACGCGGGCGACGAGCGTGATGAGCTCGCCGGAGAGCTGCGTGCGGGTCTCGGGGCCCGCGTGGATGAGGATCTTCTCGAGGCGGTCCACGAACTCGTCGCGCGAGATCATGCCGTCGCCGTTCGCGTCGAGCTTCTCGATGAGGCTGAACCGCACCATCTTCAGCTCCTTGCCGTCGATCAGGGACTGGTCGTTCGAGAGGTCGCCGAAGACGGCGGTGAGGATGTCGCGGCAGGGGTACGCCGACGCCTCGGCCTTGGGGCTCGACTTTTTGCTGCCGAAAAACATGGCGCGTGGGATCGCTGGCGGGACGGTCGCTTTGCGATGCGCGGAATGCAACCGGGGCCGCGCACGGGCTGCGTCGAACGCGGACGAATGCAAATGGTGTTGGGAGCCAACACGGCAGCGTCCGAAAGGGAAATGTCATGACATGATGGCATCCAAAAAGGTAATATCTCCTTCAATAACTTGGTCAACATGGGCTGCCCACCTGTCGGTTGACGATGTGCTAGCTTCTCACCGCGAGATGGGCTGCTGCGCCAAGGAGACGGAGGAGGAGGCCGCGGCGTCGGCCGCGGCCATGTCCGCCGACGGCCCGCTCGCCCACGCCAGCGGCCGCTGCACGGACGTGCTCTGCCTCCTGATCCTCGTCGCCGCCTGGGGCGGCATGACGGTCCTCGGCTTCGCCGTCGTGGGCATCTGGAAGAACCCGCGGCTGCCGTCGGGCGACCCGCGGCGCCTGGTCTACGGCATGGACTACCTCGGCGACCTCTGCGGCGTCGACGGCCGCACGAGCTACCTGAAGGCGACGGCGGCGTACCGCCTCTACGACGTCCGCGAGCTGCCCTACGCCTACTACCTGCCGTCGGGCGCCGTCGTCTGCGTCGAGAGCTGCCCGTCGGCGGACGACGCGGACCGGTTTTTCTGCCACTACGAGACGCAGGAGGCCCTCGACGGCTACCTCGCGGATGGCGACGTCGACGCCTATTGGCGCGCGGGCGTCGCGGGCGTCTACGCGTACGAGTGCAACTTCCTGTGGAAGACAGCGTCCTGTGGCCGTGACGATTTTCGAGAGATTTTGACCGTGAAAACGAAGGGAAATCGTCACCGACACATCTGGTAGGTGGAAGACGACGGAGTTCCTGACGCACTGCGTCTTCGACGACGTCCCCGACTACGCGACGGCGTTTTCGACGACGGGGCCCCTGGACGACCCGACGGCGGCGCCGACGACCGCCGCGCCAACGCCGCTGCTCCTCGCGCCGACGGCGAGCGCCGCGCCGTCCGCCGCGCCGTCGTTCGCGCCGACGGCCGCGCCCGTTCCGGCCCCGACGTCGAAGCCGTCGCCGTTCAACGGCACGCGCGCGCCGACGGCCGCGCCGTCGTTCAACGCCAGCGTCCCGTGCGCGCAAGCGTTGGACCGGGCCTACTGCGACGGCCTCGTGGGCGTCAACGCGTCCGCGGCGTCCGCGGCCTCGTACTGCTACGGCCTCTTCTGCCCGGAGTGCCAGCTGCCGGGCGCGTGCGACTTCGCGTGCGGCTTCTGCGACTCGTCGGCGCCGACGCCGTCGCCGCCGCCCGTGGGGCAGGCCGACAGCGGCGACGACTCGGAATTGTACGAGGAAGTCGCGGCGGACCTGTTCAAGCTCTGGAAGCCCATGCTCGCCTTCGGGTTCGGCGTGGCCTGCGGGCTCGGCTTCGTCTACCTCGCGCTGCTGCAGATCCCGGGCCTGCTCTTCGTCGTCGTCTGGGCCATGCTCCTCGCCGTCTTCGTCGTGCTGGCGGGCTGCGCCGCCGCGACGGCGCACACGGCCAAGGCCTGGCAGGACGAGGACCCGCGGCTCCACGACGCGGACGAGGTCAAGGCCGCCAAGGCCGTCGCCGCGCTCCTCTTCGCGGGCGCGGGCCTCTACTTTTGCGCGCTCTGCTTCCTGCGGAAGCGCGTGGCGCTGGCCATCGGCGTCCTGAAGGAGGCGGCGCGCGCGCTGGGCACGATGCCGGCGCTGGTGCTGCTGCCGATCCTCCAGGCCGCGGGGCTGTTGTGCTTCCTCGCCGTCTGGGTCGCGTACGCGCTCTACCTCGCGTCGTCGGGGTCCATCGAGACGGTCTACGCGGAGTACAACGGCCTCCAGATCTCCTACAAGGAGTTCTCCTACTCGAGGGAGCAGCACTACGCGGCGCTCTACCTGCTCTTCGTCTGGTTCTGGACCTCGGAGTTCGTCGCGGCGCTCGGGCAGCTCGTCGTCGCCGTCGCCGTCGTGCGCTGGTACTTTTCGCGGAACAAGCTCGACGCGGCCGTCGTCACGCCGCCGGGCTTCTTCTGGCTCGTCGTCACCGTGTTTAAAAGACACGCGGGCACGGCGGCATTTGGCGCGTTATTGGTGGCCCTCTGCAAGACCGCGCAGGCGATCGTCCAATACCTCAAACGGAACGCGCCGTCGGAGGGCTCCAGGGTCGTCAAGGCCGTGCTCGACTGCGTCACGGCCTGCCTCGTGGCCGTGGAGAAGTGCGTGCGGTTTCTGAACAAGAACGCGTACATCCAGACGGCGCTGCACGGCGTCGGCTTCTGCCGCGCGGGCTTCCGCGCGTTCGCGCTCATCGCGACGCACGGCGGCCGCGTCGCCGCCGTCGGGCTCGTCGCCGCCTTCGTCCTGTTCTTCGGGAAGCTGTTCGTGGCCCTGGGGACGACGGCGGCGTTCTACTTCTACGTCGTCGCGGACCGGGCCGACGACCTCAACGGCGTGCTGGCGCCGACGTTCCTCGTGTTCTGCTGCGCCTTCGCGACGGTCGACGCATTCAACAACTTGTACGACATGGCCATCTGGACCATCCTGCAGTCCTTCATCTTGGACGAGACGACGTTCCAGGCCGAGCCCTTCGCGTCGGGCGCGCTCCAAGCCGCGATCGCCAAGTCGACGGACGCGCCCGCCGGCGGCTGCTGCGGCGGGCCCGCGGGCGACGGCGGGCCCCTCCGGGCCAAGTTCGACGAGTACGACGCGGACAAGAGCGGCTCCATCGAGGCGCCGGAGCTGAGCAAGCTCCTCTCGCAGCTCACGGGCTCCGAGCCGTCGAACGCGGAGCTGAAGAAGATGATGACGGCCGTCGACACGGACGGGTCGGGCGCCATCGGCTTCGACGAGTTCCAGACCATCCACAAGCGCGCCCTCGACGGCACCCTCGAGTTCAAGGCCCTCGCCGACGCCATGAAGAGCTTCGACAAGCTCATGGACGACCTCAGCGACGACGACGGCGGCGACGAGGAGGACCCGGGCGGCTAAGTTCGGCGCTACGGCCGGTGGGGGCGGGACGCGTACGGGCCAGGGTCGCGCGTTCTCGCCGCCGACAGTGCCGACCGACGTGCCGTTGGGTCGACCGTTGGGAACGACTTCAACGCCTTCACTGACTTCAGCTTCAGGGGCCTTGACGGCCACAAACATTCCCGATTATAACGTTTTATGTCAAGAGCCCTGGCAGCCCCGGGCGCTGGTAATGGCGGCGGCCGTCCACCACCCCCCCCGACGGCGGTGAGGCGGCATGAAGTCGACGTCGTCGTCCTGCGGCACCCTCGAGGGCCTGGCGGCCGCGGAAGAGGTCGTTACGGTGACGTCGTCCCTCGACAGCCCACTAAAAAAATCGAAGCCGATTGACACGAGCGTCCACAGCGCGCGCACGGAAGAGGTGTCGCGCCAGCGCAGCGAGTCCATCGGGTCCCTCGACGCGTCGCACCGCGGCCTAACGAAGCAGGTGCCGGAGGACGACGACCTCCTCGAGGAGCTCCGGCTGTCGTCCGAGCAGGTCGGCGCGCGGCGCGCGGGCGCCGAGGCCTGCCTCGACGACTTCGACGTGCTCTCCCAGATCGGCGAGGGCGGCTTCGGCAAGGTCGTCCTCGCGAAGAAGCGGGACGGCGGCAGCCTCCACGCCATCAAGGCCGTGCGCAAGGAGCGGCTTTTACACGCGGGAGAAGCGGCGGTGCAACACATGCTCGACGAGAACCACATCCTGCAGACCATGCGCCACCCCTTCATCCTGACGCTGCAGTACGCCTTCCAGGACGCGACGCGGCTGTATCTCGTGACGAACTTCGTGGGCGGCGGGAATCTCTACCAGCTGATCACGCGGCTCGGCGTGCTGGGCGAGCCGCTCGCGCGATTCTACGCGGCGCAGCTCGTTTCCGCGTTCTCGTACCTGCACGGCCAGGGCATCGTCTACCGGGACCTGAAGCCCGAGAACGTGCTGCTGGGCCTCGACGGCTACGTCGTGCTCGCGGATTTCGGCCTCGCGAAGACGCTGGGCCTCGAGGAGAAGAAGGAAAACGCGCTGCGCGCGTCGTTCCGCACGTCCGTGGCCAAGGCGGAGACGTTCTGCGGCACGCCGCTCTACCTGGCGCCGGAGGTCGTGGCGAAGATGCCCTACGGCCGGTCCGTCGACTGGTGGACGCTCGGCTGCCTGCTCGTGGAGATGCTCACGGGGCGGCCGCCGTTCCTCGCGACGAACCTCCCGGACCTCATGGAGCTCATCAAGACGGGCACGCCGTCGTTCCTGACGTCGGCGAAGCTCGGCGCGGCGGCGAAGGACTGCTGCGCGAAATTGTTGGAGCGGAAGCCCGAGGACCGCCTCGGCTGCGGCGAGGGCCTGGGCGTGAAGGCGCTCGAGGCCCACGCGTTCTTCGCGGACGTCCCGTGGCGGTCCCTGGAGGCGAAGCGGGAGACGCCGCCGTTTTTGCCGGACCCGGCGACGGACGTCATGGGCCGCGTCCACGCGCTCTCGGAGCAGACGGAGAACGTCGCGAAGCCCCTCTTCGACGACTTCCGCGCGTTCAACCGCGACTCGAGGACCGCGCTCAGAGAGCCCGACTCGGCCCGGGACGCCGCGCGCGCGGACGACCTCGAGGCGCTCAAGGCCATGGCCGCGCGCGGCGTCGACGTCGCGGCGGGCGACGAGAACCGGCGCACGCCCTTGCACGTCGCCGCCGCGCGCGGCCACGGCGCGGTCGTCGCGTTCCTGCCTGCGTGGAAATCAAATCTTCAACCCGACTTCAATGTGCGCGCAATCGAATGATTTGGACCAAAATCTTTCGCTCTGCTTCGAGAACTCGACGAGAGCGATCGATTCGTCCAAAAGTCAGCCGAATCGACTCCGATTTGGCCGAGCGAGAGAATTTCAACGTTTGGTCGGGACGTCCGAAACCGGTGTTTGATTTCCACGCAGGTTCCTGCTCTCGGAGGGCGCGGACGTCGCGGCGCGCGACCGCTGGGGCGGCACGCCCCTCGGCGACGCCGCGCGCGAGGGCCACGACGCGGTCTGCGCGCTGCTCCGCGCCGAGGGCGCGCGGGACGACGACGTGCCCGACGACACGGGGCGCCAGCTCCGGGTCGCGGCCGAGGCCGGCGACGTCCGCGCGCTCGTCGCGCTGCTCGACGCGGGCGCGGCGCCCGGCGCCGCGGACGCGCGGGGCCGCGGCGCGCTCCACGCGGCGGCGGCGGGCGGCTTCAAGGACGCGGTGGGCCTGCTGCTCGCGCGGGGCGCGCCGCCCGAGGCCGCGGACGCCGAGGGCCGGACGCCGGTGCACGTCGCGGCGGCCGCGGGGCACGGCGACGTCGTCGGCAAGCTGCTCCACTTCGGCGCGCGCGCGAACGCGCGGGACCGCTTCGGCGGCACGCCCCTGAAGGCGGCGCTCGCCGCGGGCCACGCGGACATCGCCGCGCGGCTGCGGGCCGCGGGCGCCGCCGACGAGGTCCCCGAGGACGCGGACGTCGCGAACGTCGGCAAGCTCCTCGAGGCGGCGAAGCGCGGCGACCGGGACGCGCTGCGGCGCCTGCTCGACGCGGCCGTCGACGTCAACGGCGCGGACTACGACCGGCGGACGGCGCTGCATTTGGCGGCGGCCGAGGGCGAGCTCGACGCGGTGCGGTTCTTAGTGGACCGCGGCGCGGACGTCAACGCCGTCGACCGCTGGCGCGGCACGCCCCTGCGGGACGCCGAGGACGGCCGCCACGCGTCCGTCGTCGCGTTCCTCGTGGAGCGGGGCGCGGCGCGCGGGCGCCGGTCGAAGGACTTCGAGGACGCGACCGTCGGCATCGGCAGGCTCCTCGAGGCGGCGAAGCGCGGCGACGTCGGCGGCATCCGCGCGCTCCTCGCGTCGGGCGTCGACGTCAACGGCGGCGACTACGACAAGCGCACGGCCCTGCACCTCGCCGCGGCCGAGGGCCACGCCGACGCCGTGCGGTTCCTCATCGACGAGAAAGCGGCCATCGACGTCGTCGACCGCTGGCGGGGCACGCCCCTGCGCGACGCCGAGGACGGGAACCACCTGTCCGTCGTGGCCCTGCTCCGGAAGCACGGCGCCGCGGAGACGGGCCGGCGGCCGCGCGCGTCGTCCGCGGCCGACGCCGTCGGCGCGCTCTGCGAGGCCGCGCGCCACGGCGACACGGCGACGCTCCGCGAGCTCATCGACGGCGGCGCGGACGTCACGGCCGGCGACTACGACAAGCGGACCGCGCTGCACCTCGCCGCGGCCGAGGGCCACGTCGACGCGGTCCGCTTCCTCGTCGACCGCGGCGCGAACGTGGACGCCGTCGACCGCTGGCACGGCACGCCGCTGCGCGACGCGGAGCAGGGGCACCACGCGGCCGTCGTCAAGCTCCTCCGGGAGCGCGGCGCGGCGACGCCGCCGTCCGCGACGCCGCGGCGCCGGAGCCGGTCCTGGGGGAGCCTGGTCGCGATGCCGAGCCCGCGGCGCATCGGCAAGGCGTTGACGAAAAAGCACTCCATGCCCGTGCTGCCCTACGACGACTCCAACGATCCGCCGGAGCCGGAGTCGCCGGGCCTCGTCATCAACCCGCCGCGGAAGGCCGACGACGAGCACCAGAAGGCCGAGCTGGACCGGTCCAACGGCTCCTGCGCCATCGCCTAGCGGCGACCCCCGACATAGCCCGCCGCCGGCGGGCTATGTCACCCCACAGCTTTTTGTTTCGATCCCTCCCCTCCCTGTGCCCCGCCGCCTTCCGGCTCAATAAAAAAGACAACATAGCGGACGGCGCGGGCGGGCGCGCGGCGTCTTCGCGGCGGGGCGCCTACTTGCAGCAGCGCTTGAGGAGGTCGCCGTCCGTGCGCTCCATGGAGTTGTCGTAGTTCCACTGGTGGCCGTTGGACCACTTGTCCCCGGGGTCGCCCTGCCAGCAGGTCACGGTGAAGGGCGACTCGAGCGTGTTGAAGTAGGCGTAGGTGCTCGTCCCGTCGGCGAAGGTGATGGTCTTGCCGTTGCACTTGTCGAGGCCCGTCTCGTTCGTCTGCTTCTTGCCCGTCGTCGGGTCGATCAACCCGTAGACGGGGTAGCCGTCGCCCGCGTAGCCGACGAGCGTCGGCACCGACGAGTTGTACATGCAGCCCGGGTTGCCGTGGTAGTGGACGTCGGCGCCCTTGCCCGCGTGCTCGTTGCAGTGGTCGAGCTGCTGGTCGAGCTTCGTCGACGTGCCCGACGTCGAGTCGTCCGGGTACGCGGGCATGCCGTTGACGGCCATCCACGTCGCGCCGAAGCCCGTGTAGTAGGTGATGGACGACGCCTTCTTGGGCTGGAGCGGGATGCGGTAGGCGTAGGACATGTGGATCCACGTGCGGAGCACGCCCTGGCCGTCGCCGCCCATGGGGTACGACTGGTCCGTGGGCGCGCCCGGCGGCTTCGGGATCTCCTCGAGGAAGACCTCGTGGTTCGGCTCGCCGTTGCTCCAGACGACGAGGTCCTGCTCCGTGCAGTAGGCCGCGGCGATGTTGTTCTTCGCCCAGAGGTCCGCGTCGCCGAAATTCAGCGACGTCTCGACGTCGCAGATGGGGTACGTCGCGTTGCTCGGCGTCGTGCACGCGGCGTTGCAGTCCGCGCCGTCGCGGAGCGCCTCGAGGGGCGCCGGGTCCACGCGCGGGAGCACGCCCGAGAGGTCCGTGTCCGTCGCGGCCGCGAGCAGCGAGGCGGTCTCGTTGTCGCGCGGCGCGCGCGTCGGCGCGCTGTGGGGCGGGCCCGGCGGCGGGCCGGGCCCCTCGTCGTCCGTCGACGGCCGCGGGTCCGGCGTGTTGCCGCACTCGGCGTTGCAGTAGTCCGCCGCGCCCTCGGGCAGCGGGCAATCGAACGCGTTGTAGACGCCCGAATCCGCCGCGGAGTCGAGGTAGCAGCACTCGCCCTTGGGCCAGGCGTCGCGGTAGGCCGTCGAGTTCTCCGCGTTCTGCGGGCCCGGGTGGAGCAGCTGGGCCTGGAAGCCGTTGCCCTCGGCGTCGTGGAGCGTCGTCGTCACGTAGTTGGATCCGCCGCAGTCCTCGTAGTTCTCGAAGGGCAGCTTCGGCAGCGGGCCCGTCAGGGCGTTGGACGCGAGCATGAGGTAGGTCAATTCCTCAAAGTCACCGAAGGCGTCCACCAGCTTGCCCGTGAGGCCCCGGTCGCCGAGGTCGATGCCCGTGACGCGCGCGTAGCTCTTGTTCGTCCACGTGCACGCGACGCACGTCGCGGACGCGCAGGGGTTCGTGCGGCCGCCGGCGCAGGACCGCGGCTTGAGGTTGCCGAGGTCGTAGGCGTCGTAGATCGTCGCCCAGGCCGCGCACTCGGCCGCGGGCAAAGCCTGGCTGATGCCCGTGCAGACCGAGTCGGCCGTGCGCGGCGCGAAGCGCGCGATGCCGCCGGGCGTCGCCATCGTCGGCGACTCCCAGGCCTCGCGCTCGTCGGTCTCGTAGGCACCGGCCGAGGCCGCGAGGAGCAGGAGCGGCGCGGCGCGCATGATCAGAATCAGGTGGCGGCAGTGGAGGGATCGCTCTCTCTACTGGAGGCGGGGCAGCCTGATCTGAAAACTGCCCAATCAGGTGGTCCTTGCTGTTCAACTTGAACCAGTTGCCGCAAGCATGGCTTGTCCTTGCGTGTCTAGCCCAGCGCACACAGGGCTCATCTAGCCAGCAGCAAGTGCCTTCGTGCTTCAGCGGCCGGCGGTCGATCGCGCTTCCCGCCGCTACCTCATCTGCATGCGCCGCGCCGTCGGCCTCGCCGCCATGCAGTTCCTCGACGCCGGCGCGCTGCGGCGGCCCGAGTTCCGCATCGCCGTCCTCGGCGATGTGCACGACCAGTGGCGCGGCCGCGTCGAGGCGGAGACGCTCGAGCGCGTCGTGCGGCCGGACCTGTTTCTGGCGGTCGGCGACTTTGCGAACGAGGACGCGGCCGTGGTGGAAAATATCGTGGCGTCGACGGCCTGCCTGAGCGGCGCGCGGCACCTCGTGCTCGGGAACCACGACGCGTGGACGAGCGCCAAGGCCGGCGCGGCGAGCGACGCGCTGCGGCGGACGAAGGCCGCGTGCGGCGATCTGGACGTCGCGTACGGGCGCGTGGAGATCCCGTCGGCGTCGTCGGTCTTCTCCCTCGTCGGCGCGCGGCCCCTGTCCTGGGGCGGCGGCCTGAAGCAGACGACGCCCGCGGCCTGGCGCGTGATCCGCGAGCTCTACGGCGTCGACGGCTCCGACGAGTCGACGCAGGTCGTCGCGGACGCGCTCCTCGGGAGCGTCGGGCCCGCGATCGTGCTCGCGCACCAGGGCCCCGCGGGGCTCGGCGAGGACCGGGCGGCGATCTGCGGCAAGGACTGGACGAAGCGGGCGAGCGACTTCGGCGACGACGACCTCCGGGACGCGCTCGACACGGCGCGGGACGCGCGCGTGCCCGTGCCGCTCTGCGTCTTCGGGCACATGCACTCGGAGCTCCGCGGCGGCGGCGCCCGCCGCATGGTCCACGAGGACGCCCGCGGGACGCTCCACGTCAACGCGGCGAAGGTGCCGCGGCACCGCGGGTCCCACTTCTACTTCACCGTCGTCGACATGGACGCCCGCGCGGCGACGCGCGTGCTCGGCGTCTGGCTCGACGCGGAGGACGGGCTCGTCGACCACGAGGTGCTCTGGGAGCGGGGGGGTGCGTAACATTGCGCGTGTTTCGACGACCTCAGTGTTTCGCCGGGGCCCGGCGAGGCCTCCGGCGGGGGTCGGGCTCGCGGCGCAGAGGGGGCCGACCACCAGGCATACACCAGCCACGGCATACACCAGCATAGCAGCCGCATAGCAGCCGCATAGCAGACGCATAGCGGGCGCATAGCAGACGCATAGCAGGCGCATAGCAGGCGCATAGCAGACGCATAGCAGGCGCATAGCAGGCGCATACCACCAGCATAGCAGCCGCATAAGACCAGCATAGCAGCCGCATACCACCAGCATAGCAGGCGCATAAGACCAGCATAGCAGCCCACCAGCATACCACCAGCGTAGCAGCCGCATACCACCAGCATAGCAGCCGCATACCACCGGCATAGCAGCCGCATACCACCGGCATAGCAGCCGCATACCACCGGCATAGCAGCCGCATACCACCGGCATAGCAGACGCATACCACCCGCATACCACCAGCATACCACCAGCATACCACCCGCATACCACCCGCATACCACCCGCATAAAGCCCGCATAAAGCCCGCATAAAGCCCGCATAAAGCCCGCATAGCGGGCGCATACTACCAGGCATACCGGCGGTCAACCCCCTCGGTCGCGGCGCGCCGGCGCGCCGGCGCAGCTCCGAGTGCCGCGGCCGGGAGTTCAAGACGACGTCGAGGGCGGCCCGGACGCACCGCGGTGATCATGGACTCGGGCATGGACGGGTCCGGCGGGAGCGGCGTCATGCCACTCTTTAGCGCCGCGCCGGGGACGAAAACCGCGCGTCGCAGCGTCCGCTCGTTGACGATTTCGACCGAGATGCCACTCCGCCTGTTTCTCGGCGTTTCCGCGACCCCGCCGTTCCTCTCAGGCGACGACGATCAACCTCGACGACATCTTCGCCGACTGCTTCTTCACGCAGGACGGCGAGGCGCGCCGCGGCGCCGCCGAATCGTCCGCGCGCGCGCGCGCTCGCCCGGAACCCCGGCCGGCCGCAGGTCGACCTCATGGACGGGGGCATGCTGTCGACGTCCCCCGACGACGCGTCGGCGCCGCCGCTGCAGTCGTCGTCCGCCGCGCCCATGGAGGAGGCCGCCGACGACGACGACGACGGCCCCGGCGCGCCACCGCTCGGCGCGGCCGGCGCGCGGGCCGGCGCGCCGTCCGGCGGCGGCGGGGCCAAGCCCAAGCGGTCGCGGGCGGCGAGCGCGCGGGAGATGACGGAGCAGCAGAAGGACGAGCGGCGGGAGCGGAACCGGGAGCACGCGAAGCGGAGCCGGGTCCGCAAGAAGTTCCTCCTCGAGTCGCTGCAGCAGAGCGTCAACGCGCTGCAGTACGAGAACGACAAGCTCCGCGTGGCCATCCGCGACAAGATGGGCGACGCCGTCGCCAACGAGCTCCTGGCGCGCTGCGGCAGCGACGGGAAGAAGACGTCGCTCATCGCGCGGGACCCCAGCGACGCGACGCGGATCCTCGACGACCCCGACTACTCGCTCGTCAAGGCGCTCCAGACGGCGCAGCAGAACTTCGTCATCACGGACCCGAGCCTGCCGGACAACCCCATCGTCTTCGCGTCCCACGGCTTCCTCACGCTCACGGGCTACTCGCTCGAGTCCGTGCTCGGCCGCAACTGCCGCTTCCTCCAGGGGCCCCGCACGGACCCGCGCGCCGTCGCCAAGATCCGCAAGGCCGTCGACGAGGGCTACGACACGTCCGTCTGCCTCCTCAACTACCGCATCGACGGCTCCACCTTCTTCAACCAGTTCTTCGTCGCGCCGCTCCGCGACGGCCAGGGCAACGTCGTCAACTACGTCGGCGTCCAGTGCCAGGTCAGCGACCAGTTCGCCCAGGCCATCGCCAAGGACGAGCCCTTCCCGGCCTTCTGAGCGCGGCGGGCCGTGTGGCGGGGTGTTGTGGGGCCGCCGGCCCGCCGAACGCGCGAAAACGCGGCCCGCGCGGCCCGGGGCGGATCCGGATCCGGAATAAACCAAGCAACCGTGTCTCCGGCGTAGCCCGGGCTTCCGCACTTGCCGAAGCCGGCGGGCATGTGACCCAGCGCAGCGCCTCCGAAGCGGCCGTCGCGGCCGACGTGCGAGGCGTCGTGCGCGGAGAGGCCTGCGGGCCAGTGCGGCGGCCTTCACGGCGCACGATCGCCATTCGCACCAATTCTCCACTAGGATTTTAGCCGTCGCCGGAGGCACAATGAGATTGCGCATTCGACTAATCGTCGCCCTCGGGTTGGCCGCCGTCGCGACCTACCTCGCGAATCTCGCCTTCACTATCATCGCCCAGAAGGAGCGAGCGATCCAGGACCTCCACGAGCGGCTTCACAAAGCGGAGGCGCGCCTCCCGGGGGGATACGACCCGAGGTCGAACGCGCGCCGCGACGCCCCGGCCGACGACGACGACGACGACAGCGACGACGACGACGACGACGACGACGGCGCGGTCGCGGCGCCGGCCGCTCCCCCGAAGCGCGCGGCGGCCGCGGGAGGCTGGACCCGGCTGACCGACTCGACGAGCGGCGATCCCTACTGGTGGAACCGCGCGACGAACGAGGTGACCTGGGACGAGCCGACCGCCGCGGCGGACGAGCCGCGGCACGCTCCGCCCCCGTGGCCGCGGCCCGCCGCCGCGCGGCGCGCGCCGGAGCCCGCGCGGACGCTCCTCATGACCTACGCCGTGGACCAAAACTACATGAAGGCCGTCTTCAAGGCCTTCATCGACACCGCGCGCCTCGAGGCCCGGTACGAGGGCCACTTGGCGGTCTTCGTGCACCCGGACTGCGTCGCGTTCCGGGACCCGCGGACGTTTCCGTGGCTCGCCGCGCGCCGCGTCGAGCTCGTCCGGGTCGCGTCGTGCGCGGGCACGTCCGGGCCGACGTACTGCGACCGGCACCCGGCCTGGGGCGGCGGCGCCTCGCCGAGGCCGTCGCTCATGCGCTACGCGCACTACGCGCAGTACCTCGCGAACCACGCGGGCGAATTCGACGTCGTGCTCTGGTCCGACTTCCGCGACGCGGTCTTCCAGCGCAACCCCTTCGAGGACTGGGTCGACGACAGCATGGGGAAGGACCTCGTCTTCTTCGCGGAGCACCCGGGGAAGCCCATCACGGCCGCCGGCCACACGCGGAGCTGGGTCCAGGGCTGCTTCGGCACGGAGCTCCTCGACCGCATCGGGCCCCTCGACGACGCGAAGCCGGGCACGCCCGCGCTCTGCTCGTCGAACACCATGGGCACCTACGGCGCCATCACCAAATTCCTCGCGATGTACCTGGCGCAGGTGACGGCCGCGGCGGCGCGCGACTTCCCGGCGTGCGTGGAGACGGGCGGCATCGACCAGGGGCACCACAACTACATCGTCTACGCTACGCTCGCCACGGCCGGGGACCTCGCACAGATCGCCGCGACCGCGCCGCTCTCCAAGCCCGCCGTCGCGGGCACCTTCGTGATCACGCCCTACGACCGCGGCCCCGTCTACACCGCCGGCCGCGTCGGGAGCCACTTCCTCTCGGACCTCAAGCGCGACGCCGACGGCTACGTGCTCCGGTCCGACGGGAAGCGCGCCGCGCTCCTGCACCAGTACGACCGCTGCGTCGAGCTCCTGCCCTTCTACGCCAACCTACAGACGCGACTCAACGCCGCGGAGGTGGCGAGGGGCGGCGTCGGCGCCGACGCGTAGAGGTGCATAACTCTTCGTGGCGGCGGTTACTTGCATTTCCGGCACACGAGCTTGTGGACCGGCCAGTCCGCCACCTGGCAGTCCCGGGAGCAGTACCGGGCGACGCCGCACCGCGTGCAGCTCCGCAGCTTGACGCCGTCGGCGGCGGCGCAGCCCTCGCGCGCGCACCGCCGCGGGCCAAAGTCGCGCGCGGGCTCCTGGACCGCCGCTTCCTCGCCGAGGAGCTCGCAGTCCCAGGCGTCGTCGAGGAAGCGGACGTCGCGGTAGGTGCCGCCCCGCTCGCAGAAGGTCGTGTAGCCGAAGCCGCAGCGGATCGCGTTTCCGCGCGCGGCGAGGAACGCGAAGCCGCGCTTCCCGGGGCCGAGGGCGCCGTCCTCCGCGCCGCAGGGCTCCACGGCGCGCAGCGTCCTCCGTTTCGTGTCGACCTGGAGGAGCACGTTGTAGTAGCGGCCACTGAGGCACTTGGCCTGGTGGCCCTCGACGCCGATCTCGTAGTTGTCCGGGTGCCAACCGCCGAAGACCTGGGCAGCACAAGAGTGATTCAACGTCGCTTCAACGTGAGTGTTCCGCGCGCGCGCGTCACGAGAAAAGCACCCACGCGTCGAGACCGTTCCGAGAGATGATCGCTCGTCCAAAAATCAGCCGAAACGAGTGGAAAACGGCCGAGATAGGAGCCTTTGAAGTTGGGAATTTCGCTCTCTTGTGCTGCCCTGCCGAAGACGTACGCGAGGCCCGTCGAGTCGTCGAAGGCCGCGGCGGTCTCCTGGGAGACGGGGCTCTTCTGGTGGGCTTCGAAGGCCCAGGCGCGGGCCGCGGGCCGGCCGGGCGCCGGGTCCGCCGGGTGGCGCCAGATCTCGTGCGTCGACCAGGACCCCCAGTTTTCGCCGTCGAGCGCCGCCTCCCAGAGCACGCCCGCCCGGAAGCCCTTGGCGCCCTTCTCGAGGACCCACACGTAGAGGGAGCCGCCGTCCGCCCAGCCGCTGCCGTCGGCGCAGATCGCCGGCGCCGTCTTCCGCGCGGCCGCGCGCGGCTCGCGCCACTCGCCCGTGTCGAGGTCCAGCCGCCGGAGCGTCGCGGCTTCGACCTCGGCCGAGCCGTCGCGCTGGGCGCCCCGCAGCGACCCCGAGTCGACGACGTAGAGGAAGCCGCCCCGCGCCGCGCAGGGCCCGGGCGTGTGGACGAGGCGATTCGAGCCCAGGAGCTGCGTCCATTTGCGCGTCGCGAGGTCGAAGCTCCACGTGTCGCTCAGGTGCTCCGTCCCCTTCGCCCAGGCGCTCCACGCGGTTCTCCCGCCGTAGAGCCACAATTTGCCCGCGTCGTGGGCGAGGCAGGCGAACGCGCGCGGCCGCGGCCGTTTGCCCGCGACCTCGACCTTGCGCCACGCGCCGCTGGGCACGTCGAGGGCCCAGAGCTCGGCGGAGGGGCCGTCGTCGTGCGACGCCGTCGCGCCCGTGGCGAAGCAGAGGAAGGGCCGCCGCAGGAGCCCGCCGCCGGCGCCCGAGCCGGCGCCCGCGAGCCCGCCGAAGACGTAGGTCGTGTCGCCGACGGCGGCCGTCGCCGGCCCGCACGCCTTCGCCGGCCCGCCGGCGTTTCCGCGGCGGCGCCAGCGGCCCGTGAGCGGCGTCGTCCCCTGCCGCGCCGTCGTGAGCCACTTGCCGCAGAGGTAGCGGACCTCCGAGCCCTCCTCCAGCGCCCAGTGCTCGGCGGGCGCCGACAGGGCCGCCGCGAGGAGCTGCGCGGCCTCGGCGGCGTTGCCGCGGACGAGCTGCGCGGCGCCCTGGAGGCCGAGCGCGTCGGGCGACCGGCGCCAGCCCCGGCGGACCGCGACGAGGTACGCGGCGTCGAACTGGACCTGCAGGAGCGCCGCGACGAACTCGTCGTGCGGCAGCATGGGCGCCGCGCCCTGGGTCCGCGCCCAGCAGACGTACGCGCGCGCCCAGCCGCGCGTCGCGAGCGCGGCCGCGATGAGCCGCCGCGTCGCCTTCGGGTGGCGCTTCTCGAAGAGGCTCTTGTGGAGCTCCTTCAGCGGCGGGTCGAGGAGCGACACGGTCTCCGCGTAGAGGGCGACGAGCTGCGCGAGGCCCCCGTCCGGGCGGCGCGCGGCGTGGTGGAGCGCGCGGCCCGCGCGCACCTGGGCCAGCGCCCGGGTCAGCGCGCGCGCGAGCTCGCTCTCCTCCGGCGCGTCGTCGCCGTCGTCGTCGTCGTCGGATTTGCCCTCGTCCTCGAAGTAGGAGTTCGTCCAGGCCCACGCCATGCAGGCGCCCTGCTCCTGGCCTGTGCCGAAACCAACCACTGGTTTGGGTGGTCCTGACCAAACTTGAGAATTCTCTAGCTCGGTCAAATCAAAGTCGATTCGGCTGATTTTTGGACGGATCGATCGCTCTCGTCGAGTTCTCGAAGCCCAGCCGAAGAGCTTGTGTCAAAACATTCGAATACGCTCACATTGAAGTCGGGTTGAAGATTTGGTTTCGGCACAGCTCCTGGCCGAAGAGCGCGTGGAGGAGCATCTCGCCGTAGCTCGCGCCCTGCTCCCGTTGCATGCGCGCCACGGACGCCGCGAGCTCCGGCGGCGGCTCCCGGAGGGCGATGAGGCTCTTGACCACGCAGTAGAGGGCCCGCTCCTCGGCGTCCTTGTCCGCGTCGCCGTCGTCCGACGACGGCGGCCCGCCGTACCGATCGGCCCACCGCGTCGGCCGGCCGGCCCAGTCGGTGAGAGGCATCATGTTCAGAAACATGTTGCGCTTGGCGTTCAGCGGCGGCCGCTCGAGGATGCGCCCGATGGCCGCGCGCAGCGCCGGCTCCTCGGGGCAGCCGACATAGCCCGCGAGGACCAGTGGTGCGCTGGCGCCGCCGCGCCGCGCCTGGCTCTTCTTTTTGCCCATCGATGCGGGCGTTGACGATGCGCAGGCACGTGTCCCCGACGCGCGCGCGGCTCGAGCAGCCCGTGTTTATACAGAGCAGCTCTGCGCAGCTCCAGCGGGCGAGAGCTCGAGGTGAGCTCAGATGGTGAGCTCGTCGCCACACCGCTTCAAGGTGAACTGCAACATATACTTCTAGTACGTCGAGGAGATGGACGGCTTACCCAACTTCTGCACTTGTCAGCATCCCAGACTCGCGGCGACCGAGGTGAGGCGCCCCCGAGTCATAAAGGGCCACAAACAAGCGCTTAGCTCTGCGCCGCGCCGCGGGGCACGACGCCGCGCGCCTCGCGGGACCGCGCGCCGGCCTCGAGGAGCGACGTGGGCTTGCGCGCCTTCTTCCGCAGGAACCCGTTGAGCTTGCCCGCCTTCTTGAGCTGGTCGAAGCGGTCCTCGAGGAGCCGCTGCTTGACGACGGACTTCTTCGCGTAGTAGGGCTGTTTTCCGGCCTTGACCTTCGTCCGCTCCTCGCGCTTCATGGACCGTACGACGTCGCGCTTCCGCTCGTCGTGCTTGCGCTGCTTGCGCTTGCGCACGGCGTCGTCGACCTCGGCCTTGAGGCCCGCGTCCTTGCGGCCCTTCTTCGTCTTCAGCTGGCCCTGCTTCCGCGAGATCTCCTCGGCCTCGTGGTCGTCGAGCCAGCCGTAGCGCTTCTCCGTGGCGTGGGCGTCGTAGGTGCCGCAGAGCGCCTCGAAGCGCGGGTCGCGCACGGTCTGCTTCTTCTTGAGGCCCTCGATGGTCCGCGCGGCGGGACGTTTCTTCGACGACTGTTCCGCGGGCGCGTTCTTCGACGGCCGGGACCGCGTCGCCTTGGGCGCGGCGCGGGCCTTGCGCAGGTCCTTGGCGGACGTCCCCGCGGCAGCGCGCGCCGTCGCCTCCTCCTCGAGGCGCCGGAGCCGCTCGCCGAGCGACAGGCCCGAGGCCTTGGGCTTGGGCTTCCGCGCGGCCGCCGCCGCGGCCTCGGCCTCGGAGTCGTAGCCCTCGTCGTCGCTCGCGTCCGCCTCGCCGTCGCTCTCGTCGTCGTCGCTGCTCGCGGCCTCGCCGGCGCGCGCGAGCTCGTCGTGGTCGACGCTGTCGCCGCCGCCGTCGCTCGAGTCGTCGTCGTCGGACGCGTTCTCGAAGGCCGCGAGCTGCGCCTCGAGGCCGCGGGCCATAGTGGTGTGTTACGGCGCGGTCACGCAAGCAAGCCACGAAAGCAAAGCGTTGTCTTGTCGAGGGCGGCCGAAGCGCTCACGAAGCTGTCTATCGCCGGTCAGGCGCCGAGCGTCAACATCGAAGCCGCCCACCAATGTTGACGTTAGTATCCAGCTGATAACGCGTTTTGCGCTGCTGCTGGGGCTGCCTGCAGGCGTAGCCGCAGCCGCAGCCGCCGCGCGGCCATGGCGATGGCGGAGCACGTCGAGGCGCTCAACGCCCTGCGGGCCGAGGCGTCCCTGGCGGCCCTCGAGGTGGACGCGACGGCGGAGACGGTGGCCGGCGCCCACGCGGCGAGCATGTGCGAGCACGGCTTCCTGAGCCACTGGGGCCTCGACGGGCGGAACCCGTACCAGCGCTACGCCTTCGGCGGCGTGCGGAGCCACGTGCGCGAGGTCATCCACGGCGAGAGCGGCGCCTTCGGGGACGACGCGGCGGGCCGGCAGGAGCGGCTCGCGGAGCTGTGCTCCGCCGCGCGCGACTCCGTCTTCAAGGACGCCAACGCCCTGGCCGCGGGGCTCCACTGCACGCACGTCGCCTTCGGCGTGGCCCTGACGGCGAACGAGTTCCGCTTCGTCGTGGCGTTCGTGACGACGCGCGTGGACCTCGACGAGGTCTCGTGCCCCGAGGAGCTGCTCGCGCCCGAGCTCACGCTGAGCGGCGCGGTCATCCCGGGCAGGGAGCCCATGGGGCCCTACTGCGCCGTCGTCTACTACGACCCGCCGCCGGAGCCCATGGGCGCCGAGGAGCTCAACTCGAACTTCGCGGGCCCCTACGACGACTTCTCGCCGGAGCAACTGGAGGTGTCCTGGCCCTGGGACTTTTCGTTCTCGGCGGCCGACGGCACCTTCTCGGCAAAGCTGAAAGTCTGCGGGGACCTGGCGCTGCGGCCGGGCACCTACTACGTCCAGCTCTACCTCCGGGGGGACGTCGAGTCCATCCCCTACGGGGAGAAGGCGGACGGCGTCGAAGTGCCCGGCGACGGCTCCGTCTGCGCGACGGGCGTCGTGCTGACCGTCGGCGAGCACCTCGCGGCGGCGGGCGGCGCGGCGAAGAGCGACGACGGGCCCGGGGACCTGACGCTCGAGGAGCAGGCCGCGCGGCACGACGCCTTGGCCGCGTCGACGAAGCCCGACGGCGCGCCCGCGACGCATCTGGAGATGCTCCACGGCGTCGGCGCGCTGGCGACGCCGGGCGAGGACTTCGAGAAGTCGGTCTACATGCCCGTGGAGCGCGCGGAGCAGCTGACGACGGCGAATTTGGGCGTCGCGTTCAAGCGCCTGGCGCCCGAGGAGCTCGCGGACGACAACGACCCCCTCGTCGTCGTCGACGTCTGCGTCGCCGCGGGCGGCGAGGCGCCGCCGCCGGGCTTCGAGGCCATCGAGGGCTTCCTCCTGCCGCCGCCGAACCCCATGGACGACGCCTACGCGGCGACGGCGCCGAAGCTGTGCGTGTCCAAGGCGCCCGCGTCGACGGCGGGGCCCCGCGTGCTCGTGGACCTCGCCGTCGTCTACGGCCCCAAGCCGGGAACGCGCGCCGCGGGCGCGCCGCCCTTCGACATGGGCGGCGGCTACGAGACCGTCCCCCTGCCGCCGGCCGTCGCCGACGCCTACGGCGCGGCCATCGTCGTCTGCGTGAAGCGCGAGGGCGCGGGCCGGCGGGCCGCGGAGCAGCTCGCGTCCGACGCGGCGCTCGAGGCCGCGGCGGCGATGAAGGCCGAGGACGGCGACTTCGACGGCGACTCCATCGGCGGCGGCTTCGACCCGCTGGACGAGGACCGCGACGACGAGGACGACCTGCTCGACACGACGCTCACGCCCGAGCAGGTCGTGAAGCTCGAGGAGCAGCGCGCGGACCGGCTCCGCGAGGCCGAGGCGCGCGCCGACGCGGAGGCCCTCGAGCGGGACGCGCTCGCGCGGCGCGAGCAGCTCGCCGCGGAGCTCGCGTCGCTGGCGGAGCAGAAGGCGGAGCAGTTGGGCGCGAACGCGGAGCTCCAGCGGCGGCTCGCGGCGCTGCTGGCGTCGACGAAGCGCGGCGAGCAGGCCGCCGGCGCGCCGGCCAAGGGCGGCGCGCCGGCGGCCGACGCGGCCAAGGAGGCGGCCGCCGCGCCCGCGCACGAGGGCGAGAAGCAGTACTCCGACGCGCTGTCGGCCATCCTCGACGCGAAGCGCCGCGCGGCGGGCATGAAGGACGAGTACGACCGCGGCGCCTTCGACCTCCAGACGCGCCTCGACGAAAAAGAATTTAAAGCGAAGAAGATCAGCGACAGCTTCCGCGAGTTCAAGCACGAGATCGCCTTATCGGCCGAGAACTCGCGGACGTCCAAGCCCATCCCGAAGCGCATCATCGCCCAGTTCGAGGAGCTCGAGCTCCGCCGCGAGGCCGAGGTCGAGAAGGTGCGCCTCAAGAACATCAACCTGCGCATGACGCTCCGGAAGCTCGAGGCGTCGTTGCGCGCCAAGGAGCAGCTCGCCGAGGGCTTGCACCTCATCGACTTCGAGCAGCTCAAGATCGAGAACCAGACGCTCAACGAGAAGATCGAGGAGCGCAACGAGGAGCTCCACAAGCTCCGCAAGAAGAACACGGCCAACGTCCAGGTGCTCACGCACTTCAAGGAGAAGTTGCAGTTCGTCGCCGCGGAGAACGACGTCGTCCGCGCGGAGCTCGCGACGCTCGACGAGGAGCTCGGCAGCGAGCGCGACCGCGTCGCCAAGGCCAAGACGGAGCGCGAGTCCCTCAAGGCCGACAACGCGGGCCTCCGCCAGCGCCAGGGCTTCGCGAACAACGACCTCCTCGTCATCGACTTCGAGAAGCGCAAGTCCGAGCTCCAGCGCGTCGAGCAGAAGATCGCGGAGCTCCGCGAGCGCTACTCGCTCCTCCAGGCCGAGGTCAAGAAGGCCGACGCCGTCACGAAGGCACACGCGCCGGAGTAGGGGCGGCGACGCGTGGTAAGCAGGACACCAGAGCAGAGTGCATTGATCAGGCCCAGCGGCTCGTTGCCGTCAATCGAGCGCAGCGGCCACATCACAGCCGCCACAGCTGTACCAGGATCGAGCCGTCGCGCTGCTACCTCGTCGCGTGCAACCACCGCGTGCACAGCAGCGAACCCGCCGACGCACACGTCTGCACCCATGCGTTTGCTGCTGCTGTTGCTCGCCGTCGCGACGACGGCCCGCGCCCTGCGCGTGCCGCGCCGCGCCCTCGCATCGCTGGCGCCCGGCGCCGCGGCGACGGCGCTGGCGCCGGCGGCCGGCGCCCTGCCGTTCTTCGAGACCGCCGAGAGCCGCCGCGCGGCCGACGAGGCGAAGGCGGCGAAGCTGCAGGAGTCGCTCAAGGCGCCGCCGCTGGACCCGTCGCTCCGCGCGTGCGGATCGCGCCTGGTGGGCACGTACACGGACCCCAAGCACCCGGGCTGCACGCGCCGCGTCGCGCAGATCGGCGGCACGCGCTTCGCGAGCATCTACGGCGCCGACGAGGACGGCAAGCCCTGGGTCGTCAAGGCCACGGTGGCCTGCAGCGGCTACAACGGCGTCGACGCGGAGCAGCTCATCGTCGACTTCACGCCCAAGGGCGGGCCGAGCGAGGCCGTCGCGCTCGCCGCCTACGAGGGCTTCGGCGCGACGCTGACCTTCCCCGACGGCAACGTCTGGACCATGGTGCCCTGCAGCAACCCGAACCTGAAGACGAAGCAGCAGATCGCCGCGTGCCGCGCGGGCGCGAAGGCGTGAGGATCGGTAATAGCTGGTACGCGAGTTACTCCTAGGGCCGCGAGTGCGCGGGCCGTGGGGGCGGGGAGCGCCGTCGGAGCACGCTGGAGCTCGTTAATCGAGCTGGGCGACGAGCGCGACGCCGCGGAGTACCCACTTCGAGGCGGGCAGGTCCGTCTTGAGCGTCGCCACGAACACGAATGTCGGGCCGCGGAACCTAAGAGACGCAGAGTTTTGTTCCGTCGACGGAAAGGCGCGTCGGACGCGGCGGCGCGCGTCGTCAGGTACACGGGGCAGTTGTAGATCGTCGGCTCCGGTCGCAGGTAGCCCACGGCCGAGGGCTCCCAGGTCGGCTGGACCTGGACGGCCTTGATGTAGATGATGGGCATGTGGGGCAGCAGCTCCTTGGGCCGCGAGTCGCGCAGGATGCCCGCGAGCTGCGTCGAGTCGACGGTGTCGTCGAAGGCCTCGTTCTCGACCTCGCCCCAGCACGCGCCCTCGCAGAACATGCCGTGGATGTAGGCGCCCTCCGTGAGTCTTTCCGTGATCTCGTCGGGCTCGTTGAACGCGGACACGTGCGTCTCCGTCGACATCTTGTCGAGCGCGAGCGAGTTGTTCCGCGCGGTCACCTGCTTGATGGCCGTGAGGAAGGCCGTGGGGTTGAAGAGGCCCGGCAGCCAGACGGACGTGGGCGTCTTGATGCCCTCGGCCCCGCTCCAGGCCGTGAGCTGCTCGCAGCGCTGGATCAGGTCCGCGAACCAGGGCAGCAGGCCCTTCATCGACGGCCACGCGTACTTCTCCCAGGACGCGGTGTGGAACGGGTTCCGGCCCGGCACCTGCTTGATGAGCAGCGCCGACATGAGCTCCTCCATGAGCTCCGACATGTTGAGCTGGCCCAGCAGGCCCTTGCGCAGCTCCTCGAGCGTCCGCCCCATCTCCGCGCACAGACCGTTCATGCGGCCCACCTCCTGGAGCACGACGACGATGTAGGGCGCCTCCTTGCCCTTGAGCAGGGGCGCCGCCTTCTCGTTGATGTCGATGAGGTCGTAGGGCTCCGGCAGGCGCTCGATGAGGTCCGTGATCATCTCGTCGATGCCGCTGCCGCCGCCGCCGCCGCCGCCGGCCTTCGAGCCCGCCTTGAGCCGCAGGATCGTGCTCAGCAGCGCCGTCGTCGCCGAGTTCAGGTAGGCGATCTCCGAGTTCATGTGCAACCCATAAATCAACGGGCTCTCCGGCGGCAGCTTCGTCTTGAGGTGCTCCACGTACATCTCGCGCGTCGTGTGCGTCGCCGGGTCGGGCGAGTTGAAGCCCTCGCCGAGCTCCTCGGCGGCGAGGAGGCTCGGCGTGAAGGACACCTCGAGGTACGTGTTGTTCGTGCGCCGGTCCCAGAAGTCCGTGATGTGGCCGCCGTACATGATCTCGCCGAAGATGTAGCGGAGGTCGTCCCAGGGCACGCGGCCGTTGTCGTCGAGGTACGTCTGGAGCACGTCCGCGCAGATCGTCAGGTCGCCCATGTTGAAGCCGTACTTGCGGCTCCAGCCCTGCTGGCCGAAGCGCTTCCGGCCGAGCATGACGGAGTGGAAGAAGCAGAGGCCGAAGAGGCAGCTCCGGAACTCGAGCGGCAGCGTGCACTCGTCGAGGCGCGCCTGGGGGAAGGGCGCCCAGGCGCGCTCGATGTTCGACTTGATGTCGCTCGGCGCCTCGTTGGACACCTTGATGCACGACTGGAGCAGCGACTCGGGGATGTTCCGCTGGTAGCTGAACGACGGCGCCTCCGCGGACACGTAGCACCGGAAGTCCTGGTGCGCGTGCTCGGAGCAGACCTCGAGCTTGCGCTCGAGCACGGGCAGCCAGGACTGCATGAGGTGCAGGTTCTGGAGCATGACCCAGCCGCCGTCGTGGGCCATCTTCTCGAGCATGGCCTCCGCGGGCGCCTCCTGGCCCTGGCCCATGGAGATGTTGACGAACTTGTGGTTCGCCGCCGTGATGCCGAAGGACTCGCCCAAACTCTCGACCCAGAGCGTCGGGTCGACGCCGGGGAAGAGCACGAAGAAGATGGGCGTGGACGCGGTGGACTCCTGGTAGGCCTTCTTCATGTCGAAGGGCGGCTGGTGCACGTAGCCGTCGCCGTAGTTCGACGCGATGTAGTTCGTCACGCCCATGGTGACGCGGTCGCTGCGCATGGTGCACAGCAGGAGCACCATCTCGAACAGGTTCGGCGCGGGGCAGCCCTCGGGCAGCGGCGGCGTCTCCGTCTCCGGCGACTTGTGGTTGTACCAGGACTCCCAGGCCGACGCGTTCTCCTCGATGTGCTTCAGCAGCCCGCCGAACATGGGCACCTTGTCGCCGCAGTCCTCCTGGAGCGCCCGGAGCTTGGGCCACGTGGCCTCGGGCAGCCACGCGGACGCCTCGACGGGCGCGGGCTCGCCCTCGGCCTCGCGGCCGCCGAGCATGATGCCCAGGTAGGCCCCGTCGAGCTTGTCGTCGGCGATCTGGAGCGTCAGCACGAAGAGGGACACGATGGTCAGCTTGTCGCGCTCGAAGAGGCCCCGGCGCACGTAGTTGAAGCAGACGGACGTGCACGTGTCGATGAGCTTGACGCAGCGCGCGGCGTAGTCGACGTACTTCTCCACCGTCGTCTCGGGCACGACGTAGTAGCGCGGCGGGTCGGCCTTGGTCTCCAGCACGAGCGCGGCGACGTCGCCGACCTTGCAGAGCTTCCTGACCGTGCCCACGCACAGGTCGCCCTCGACGACGTCGCCGACCTTGAAGGTGCCCTCGGAGCCCTCGCCGCCCCGGGGCGACTTCTTCTTGCCGATGGACATGAGCTTGTCCAGGAAGTCGCTGTCGAGCGTGTCGCTGTGGGACGCGTTCATCAGGATGTCGCGGTTCCACGGGAACCGCTCGAGGCCGCCGATGACCTTCTTCGCGATCTTCTTGAAGGCCTTGAGGCCGAAGCCCTTCTTCTTCTTGGGCTTCGCCTCTTCTTCGGCCTCCTTGGACTCGCGCTGGACCTGGTCGATGCCGTTCAAGAAGACGACGACGAACGCGTTGAGCGAGTAGATGTAGTACGTGTGGATCTTCACGAGGTCGTTCATGATGAAGAAGAGCTGGGAGCCGCGGCGCGCGACGAGGCGGAACTTTTCCGACGTGTTGTTGATGGACTCCGTCGTCTTGCGGCCCGCCGTGAGCTTGGCCTCGATGTCGCGCGCGGTCCGCTTCGCGGCCTCCAAGCCCTCGATCAAGTCCTTGTCGTCCGTGATGTCGCCCTCGGCGGCGGCGAGGCGCGCCAAAATCTCGTCCTCGATCTGGATCATCTTGATCTTGAACTGGTTCTGCTGCTGGATGAGCTGGACCTTCTGGGACGCGAGGTCCGGCCGCTCCTTCGACACGACGAGCGCCAAAAGCTGGTCCTCGAGACCCGCGGGCGTCACCGTGAAGTTGACGAGCGTGCACTCGGCCTGGATCTCCGGCGGGTAGTGGGGGTTGCTCAGCTTCGTGTGGAGGAACATGCGGAAGTTCGCGTGGTACTCGACCTCGTCTTCCCCTAATTTCAGGAAGTAGCGGCCGCCGCGGCGCATCTTCGCGCGCTGCACCGCGGGCATGATGGACGCCTCGATCTGCTCGCCCATGTTCTCGACGAGCATGGGGAAGCCCCCGACCAAACACTCCTTGAGCGTCTTGAGCAGGTCCTTCGTGCCGAGGCGCGACACGCGGAGCATCGCGTTCTTGTCGCGCGTGTTCTGCGTCTTCACCTGGGGGGCAGCACAAGGGTGATTCAACGTCGCTTCAACGTGAGTGTCCCGCGCGCGCGCGTTCCGAAAAAAACATCCACGCTTCGAGACCGTTCCGAGAGATGATCGCTCGTCCAAAAATCAGCCGAAACGAGTGGAAAACGGCCGAGATAGGAGCCTTGGAAGTTGGGAATGTCGCTCTCTTGTGCTGCCCTGGTCTTCACCCAGGCGACGCCCTGGAGCTGGGGGTCGATGAGGAGGGGCCAGCGCGTGGACCGCGACACGATGGCGCCGTTCTCCGTGGACACGGGGTCCGCGGGGAGCTTCATCGTCTGCCAGAGCGCGATCTCGCTGTCCGTCGTCAGCGCCTGGGCAGCAAAAGAGAGATTCAACGTCGCTTCAACGTGAGTGTTCCGCGCGCGCGCGTTCCGGAAAAAGCATCCACGCTTCGAGACCGTTCCGAGAGCGATCGCTCGGTCCAAAAATCAGCCGAAACGAGTGGAAAACGGCCGAGATCGGAGCCTTTGAAGTTGGGAATTTCGCTCTCTTTTGATGCCCTGGTCAGCGCCGTGAGCGGGTCCGCCTCCTTGGACATGGGCACGGGCACGCCCGTCGTCGGGGACCGGAGCCGCGGCACCCACTGCTCCTCGAGCAGCTTCGTGCGGTACTGCTTCGTGAAGGGGCCGATGTAGGAGATGAACGCGGCGCTGAGCAGCGTGTCGCCGACGAGCAACGCGCGCGACGTGCCGAGCGACTCGATGCCCGCGCACCAGCGCACGTTCTCCGACGACAGGGCGCCCAGGAGGCGCTCGGCTAGACCCAACTTCATCTGGCCCTTGGCGACGACCTCCTCGGCCTCGTTCTTGACCTTCTCCGCCTCCTGCAGCTCCGACACGAGGATCGCCAAACGCTCCTCGAGCTCCGCGACCTTCTTGCGCACCTGCTCGAGCTTGTGGTTCGCCTCCTGGAGCTGGATCGTCGCCTCGGCGACGAGCTTCTTCTTGGGCTCGACCATGGACACGACGTCGTAGTAGACGACGATGTTGATGCACCAGTTGCACAGGCCCGCGGCCGCGGAGTTCTTGCCCATGATGATGTCGGGCTGGAAGTGCTCCATGGCGAGGTAGAAGCGCACCTCCTTGAAGTTGATGAGGGGCACCTTGCCCCCGTCGAAGGACTCCTTGTAGGACTTGAGCTCGTCGACGAACTTCTTCGGGTCGCCGAGGAGCGCCTTCTTCGCGACGTCCCACGACCGGTCCTTGTCCTTGACCTTGCCCGATTTCTGGACCGTCACGGCGGGGTTGAGGCCCGCGAGGAGCACGAGGCAGGCGCTGAAGACGTCGTCGACGCCCGGCGGCGGCTTGGCCATGGTCTTGCACATCTGGAGCTGCTTCACGTCGAGCGTGTCGAGCGCGGCCATGGCCGCCTCGACGGCGGGCACGGCCTTGGCCAGGTCGGCCTCGGCGGACTGCTGCTTCGCCGTGACCTCGGCGGCGATTTTGGTCACCTTCTTCTCCTCGATGGACGCGTTCTCGGACTCCATCTCGACGACCTCCTTCTCGGCCTTGACGCGCTTCGCGATGCCGTCGGCCGTGGCCTTCTTCTCCTCGGCGTCGGCGACCTTGCCCGCGATCTCCTCCTTGAGCACGTCGACGACCTTGGTGCAGTCCTCGAGCTTCTGGACGCCGTTCTTGAGGCGCTTCGTCGCCTGGTCGTTCTCCGCGCGCTTCGTGTCGAGGACCGTCGCGTACAATTTGAGCAGCTCGAGGTAGGACTTGGGCGTCGTGTAGACGTAGCGGCCGTCCATGTCGAAGTACTCGACGGCGGCCTTGTTCGTCGAGTCGAAGGAGTAGGGCATGAAGTTCTCGATCTGCTGCCGCACCTCCTCGCCGCCGAGGTCCTCGATCTGCGCGAGGAACTTGCAGCCCACGGAGTAGAGCGCCTGCTTCGGCCAGGGCTGGAACCAGTCGATGACCGTGCAGTTGACGAGGGCCGGGAACTTGCGGCACCGCATGCGGAACGCCTCGCCGACGGGCGAGAAGCAGAGCACGACGTGCAGGTTCTTGCGCACCTCCTGCAAAAAGTACTCGTAGACGGGCCCGGCCTCCGGGGCGAAGCCCGCGGCCTTGGCCTTCTTCATGCACGAGTTGATGACCGTGTCCTTCTCGTCCTGCGCGTACAAATCCGCGATGTCCGCGGAGCCGAGCAGGTCGTTGAGGTAGACGAGGAACCGCTCGTTCGTGATCTCCGCGTCGGTGAAGAGGAACATGACGCCCTCGGACTTGACGCCCGCGCGGTTGTACATGGCCTGAAGGTCGACCTTGAGGTCGTTGATGCCGTACGTCGCGGAGATCTGGATCATCGTCGTCTGGAAGCCGCAGATGAAGGACGAGAGGCGCGACAGCGACTTCTTGCCCGAGCCGCCGACGCCGACGAGCAGGGCGTGGCCCTGGGGGTTGTTGATGATGCGCGTGATGCGGCAGATGTGGTTCAGCGCGTCCTCGAATAAGACGAGGTCCATCTGCGCGTTCGACTCGTTGTACTCCTCGAGCGCCTGGTCCAGGATCTTCTGCAGGACGGCCAGTTCGTGGATCTGGTCGTAGATGGGGTCCTCGCCGATGCCCTCGATGAAGTGGCAGAAGGTCAACGGGTCGCGCGTCTCGCCGTAGAAGCGGCTCAGGTTGAACTCGCCGAAGCCCTTCTTCGCCTGCGCGGCCATGATGCCGTCGAACTTCGCCAGGTCCTCCGGCGACACGAGGCGGTCGCCGTAGACGCGGTAGCACTCGTGGAGCCAGCAGTCGGCGACGATGGACGTGTTGCCGAACTTGGCCGGCGACGTCATGAGGAGCCCCTGGAAGACGCCCGCGACGTGGCGGATGTTGAACTCGTAGTGGAAGTTCGTCGCCGTCTTGCGGAAGTTCTCGGAGACGTCCTTGTGGACGAGGAGCGTCGTCTTGATGATCTTGGGCAGCATGTTCATCATCTCGGCCGCGGTGTTGGTGAAGACGTTGTTGATGTGGCCGCTGAGGAACGTCTCGTAGATGATGCCCAGGGACTGGTCGCTGGGCATGGACACGGCGAAGGTCGTGAAGTGGCGCTGGAGGCGCGGGTTCACGTGGAAGGAGCCCGCCGTCGGGTTCATCGCCGCGACGTACTGGCACTTCTCGACGGTCTTGAGCGCGAGCTTCGTGATGTCGTACCAGTGCGTGTAGTCGAGGTGCTGGCGCACGAGGGCGATGGCCGACTGGGTGTTGTACTTGTCGAGCTCCGGCAGGTTCAGGTCGTCGATGAAGTAGACCATGTGGCACGCGCCCGGCGGGCCGTAGAGACTGCCCGTCTTCTTCTGCAGCGACACCTCGAGGTTCGCCTGGAGCACGAGCCCGGAGCTGTAGAAGTTCATGTTGATGGTCTGGAAGAGCGTCTGCTCCGGGTTGAGCGCCTTGAGCTGGCCGTTGATGAGCTGCGTCTTGCCCGTGCCCGAGGGCCCCGCGAGCATCGCGCAGTGGTGGCCGTCGACGAGGAGCTTCAGCCAGAAAGAAACCGACGCGCTCTCGCCGGTAGGTACGGTGACGTCGGACATGTTCATCTCGCGGCTGTTGAAGGCCACCTCGGAGAACGCGGGACTGCTCTTCCACGACTCGAAGGACATGGACTCCGTGTCGAGCCAGTAGTCGAAGACCGTGTCCTTCGTCGGGAACTGGACGTTGCGGAACTGCTTCTTCCACCACTCGCTGAAGGTCCGCTTGTAGTCCTTGCCGTCGTCGGCGATGCCCAGCGAGGATCCTAAAGCCCAGACCGCGCAGAAGCTGAACGTGATGGCGACGTTGCGCTGCGACTGGAGCTCGTTCGCCGTCAAAGTGGCGTCGAGCAGTCGCAGTAAATTCTCCACGAGCGTCGTCTCGAACTGGGGGATGGACGTGAGCATCTTCCGGAAGCACTTCAGGGACGGGCCCACGTACTCGTCGAAGCACTCCGTGAGCCACTGCCGCGACTCGTCCGTGAAGCCGTCGCCGGAGCGCGTCGACACCCACGTGTTGATCATGGACCGCCACTGGAAGCCCTCGTCCGTGGAGATGTAGAGGATGCCCGCGCGCGACACCGTCGCCGGCGTCGCGTACTTCAGGTCGCGGATCTCGAAGATCATGCGCATGTGGGGCTTGAGCGGGATGCGCTCGTTCGACGCGAGCGTCAGCAGGCGGTTGTCGTCCATGACCGAGTTCATGGACTCGATCCAGTTCGCGTCGAGGTCGCCGTCGAGCAGGATCCACTTGGGCTTCTCGTCGTCGATCTGGCCCAGGTCGCGCATGATCGTCGACAGGAGGCCGTCCTTCCAGTCGCGCGTGACCATGTTGATGTAGCCGTAGAGGTCCTGCGTCGGCATCGTCTTCGGGTTGATGTCCACGACCTTGACGGGGTTGTCCGGGTCCTTGATCTTGTAGGCGTTCGCGAGCATCTTCCAGCAGGACGTCTTGAAGGAGCCCGGCGGGCCCATGACGAAGACGCAGTGGCGGATCGCGATGAGCTCGTCGAGCTGGACGCACTTGAGCTTGAAGACGTCGTCGCCGAACTGGCCGCTCTCCTCGACGGCCTTCTCCACGGACTGCTCCAGCGTCTTGTCGATGACGCGCGGCGGGTCCAGGCCCGGGAACAAATCGTTGAGCAGCCCGAAGAAGACGACCTCGTCGGCCTTGACGATCTTGGCGATGTTGAAGTCGCGGAGCGCGCGCATCAGGATGTTGTCCTCGTCGCTGTCCGGGTCCGTGCGGAGGAGCATGCCCGCGACGACGAGGACGGACTTGATGGCCCGCAGGCCCCAGTCGTAGTGCTCCTGCTTCGAGAGGAGATCCTTGAGCAGCGAGTAGAGCGAGTAGAACTTGGACGCGAGCGACTTCGCGCTCACGAAGCCCTGGGCCATGAGCATGTTCTCGCAGATCATGACGAGGTCGGGCACCATGACCGTCATGGGCCGAAACAGGGCCTTCAATCCCTCGGGCAGCTCCGAGCGGCCGAGGTAGCCCGGGTTCATCGTGATGAACGCGCCGCACGTCTCGTCGAGCTTCACGAGGTCGCCCTCGATGGTCGTCATGCGCGCCGCCTCGTCGAAGGGGCTGCCGCTCTTGCGCGCGACCTTGCGCGCCGTCTTGACGCGCTTGACGCCGTTGCAGACGGCCTTGAACTGGACCGTGCACACGGACAGGACCTCGGGGATCAGCCGGTTGAACTCGTCGAAGCAGCCCCAGGACCCGGAGCACGCCAGGCCCTTGAAGATGTTGCCCAACGACTTGTAGTCCATCTCCGGCGAGCAGTTGAAGACGTAGCAGCACTTGCCCAGCGCCGACGCGAGGTCCTTCGTGCTCTCCGTCTTGCCCGTGCCCGCGGGCCCCGCGGGCGCGCAGCCCATGCAGAGGTTCAGGGCCTGGGTTGCGGTGACGTAGACGCGGTCCGTGAGGGGCGTCACGACCAAACGCGGCCCGTTGCCGAGGTACTCGAAGCCGTAGTCGAACTCCGCGTTGAGGATGTGGACGAGCCACCGGTTCTGCGACTCGTCGAAGCGCATCTTGAGCTGCGACTGCCACTGGAAGCTCGAGATCTGGTACGACTTCGCGCGCAGCGTCTTCTCGATCATGTCGCGGCTGTGGGCGTCGTAGGTGATCATGCACATGACGCGCGTCCGCATCGCGCCGTCGAGCTTGCCCTTGGTGAGCAGGATGAGATCCGAGAGCTGCGCGAGCGTCCGCGTCTGGAACTCGACGTAGGGCGCCTCGTCGCCGTTGCCCGCGATCTTCTCCATGGCGTCCTCGCACTCCTTCGTGTAGTAGATGGCGGCGATGAGCAGCCCGATCTGGCCCGCGTCGGCGCCGTTCGTGCGGCCGTCGCTCGCCTGGGCAGCACAAGAGTGGTTCAACGTCGCTTCAACGTGAGTGTTCCGCGCGCGCGCGTTCCGGGAAAAGCATCCACGCGTCGAGACCGTTCCGAGAGATGATCGCTCGTCCAAAAATCAGCCGAAACGAGTGGAAAATGGCCGAGATATGAGCCTTTGAAGTTGGGAATGTCGCTCTCTTGTGCTGCCCCGTCGCTCGCCGTCGCCTTCTCCTGGAGCCAGTCCGTGCGCACGGCCGTCGACGCGTAGCGGCCGATGGACCGCTTGGCCTGCTCGACGAGCGTGGTCATCTGGGCGTCCAACACGGTCTGGAGGTAGACCTCGACCTTGTTGAGGAGCTTCGGCGGCGGCGTGAACTCGCACCACTCCGAGCCGACGCCCGAGATCCACGTGAGGGCCGTCGGTCTTCCCGTCTCCGCGTCGTCGTCCGTGAGCGTTAAAGTTTTGGTCGCGAGCATGACCTTGTCGACGTGCTTCATGATCGCGGACGGGTTCGACCCGTTGGAAAGAATATCGAGCAAGTCCGCCTCGGACACGAAGTAGAAGCGCGCGAACTGCATGCGCTTCGAATCCAAGAACTCGTTGAGCGACTTCTTGCACATGTCCTGCTTCACCGTGATGTCCTCCAGGGTCGGGATGAGGCCCTCCTTGTTGCACGCGGCCTTGACGTTCTTCGTCTCCCACGCCTCCTTCAGGAGGGACCGCACCGTCGCGTCGATCTCCGCGAACTTGGCCGCCGTCTCCGGCAGCTCGCGCTTCACCTCGTCGGAGCCGACGAAGAGGGGCTCGAGGTAGGACCACATGCGCTGGAGCTCCGCGAGGATCGCGATGACCTCGCCGACGTTTTGCAATTCCGCCTGCCACTTCGTGCTGCGCTCCTTGAAGAACTCGTAGCGGGAGGAGACCATGGACTGGAGCGTCAGTAAATCCGACTCGAGCTGCTCGAAGTCCTTCTCGTCCATCTTGAGCAGCGGCACGGACTCGTCCTTGTCGTAGGGCGTGCGCACGAAGACGATGCCGCTCCAGTTGACCTCGAGGGTCTCCAGCGTCTCCTCCTGCTTCGCTTCCTTCACGGCCTTGTCCGTGACCTCCTCGACGACGGCGGCGACGGACGCGCGGTGCAGCTCCAGGCTCAGAATCTCCGAGAGCTCGATGTTCGGGTTCTCGATGGGCGTCTCCGAGAGCGTCGCGTGCGCGCCCTCCAGCAGCTCGTCCCAGTGGCGCTTCTTCATGCAGGGCGTGTGCAGCGACAGGATGAGCGGACACGACGTGTAGAACTCCTTCGCGCGGCGGTCGAGGACCTTGAACGCCTCGGACGTCTTCACGGGCTTCGGGAGCTTCTTGACCTTGGACGTGAGCTTCTTCGCGTTCTCCTCCAGCTCCTCGGGCACCAGATCGCCCCAGCGCGTGTCGTTGGCCTCGGCGACGTATTTCTCCAGCTGCTCGTCGAGCTCCCAGAGCGCGATGTACTCGTTGAGCATCTCGTCGATGTCCGCGATGAGCCTGCGAGGGAACCAAATCTTCAACCCGACTTCAGTGGGCGCGTACGCGACAGTTTCGACGCAACATTTTCGGCTCTGTCCGAGAACTCGACGAGAGCACTCGATTCGTCCAAAAATCAGCCGAACCGACTTCGATTTGACCGAGAGGTTTGAAGTTTGGTCGGGACCACCCAGACCAGTGGTTGTTTCCGGCACAGCTCCTAGCTGCTCGGGCTTCTTCATCTCCGCGCCGATCTCGTTGTCCTCGGCGCGGTTCCGCATGGCCTTGCAGCGGTTCGTGTCCTGCTTGTGCGACTGCTTCTCGTCCTCGAGGAGCTCCATGGCCTTGGCCTGGCCCGTCTCCGCGAGCTTGAACGCGTAGCTCGGGTCCATGAGGGCCTTCTTCTTCGCGCGGAGCACGCCGTCGAAGGCCTGGATCTCGTCGCGCATCTTGCGCTGGGCCTTCTCCTTCTCCTTGCGCTTCTTCTCCTCCGCCGCGAGCCGCGCCTCCTCCTCGGCCTTGCGCGCGGCCTCCTCGACGGCGCGCTCCTTGGCCTCCGCGACGGCCTCCTTGTGGGCCGCCTCCATGACGACGAGCTGCTTCTCGAGGGACACGGTGGCCTGCTTGACGATCGGTAGGGTCTTCATGTACTCGATGACGTGCTTGTGGCCGCGGCGCTTCGCCATCCACATCGCGTCGGCGCCGCGGACGTGCTCGAGGCGGCTGCTCATCATGGAGCTCAAGCCGCCGGCGCAGACCAGGGGTGACATCTCGCACTTCTCCACCAGGACCTTGAGCAGGCTGAGGTAGCCGTTGATCGCGCACGCGTGCAGCGCCGTCACCCCGGAAAAGGGGCAGACGGCCGCCGCGAAGGCCGAGTCCTTGCCGCTCGCCTCGATGTCCGCGAGGATCTTGTCGTGGTTCACGGACTTGCGCTCGCGGCAGCCGTCGATGCGCCACGTGCCCGGGGCGAAGATGTCGCGGAGCGTCTTGTGCGCCTCGACCTCGAGCTCGCCCCCGAAGGGCTCCACGGGCCTAGAAAAGCGGGGGTTTCGGTTTCGGAGCGAAGCGCGCGCGCGCGCGCGAACGGCGGCCGCAGCGCCCCGCCCCCGCCCCCGTCGCCGCCGGCGCCGGCGCGCCACGGGGCGTTGCAGCGGTAGGTGCGCAGCCCGAAGGCGTCGCGCGCGATGAGCTCCTTGAGCTCCTTGTCCTCCTCCTTCTTCTCCTCCTCGTCGGCCATGGCGCCAAACGGGCCAAGGGCGGAGGTGCCGACCGGGGAGCGGCGGGCCCTACTTGGCGGGCTCGCGTGCTGCTGCCAGGTCGGGGGGCAGCCAACGCTTCGTTATGGCAGCTAAGATACGGCACCATTTCGATTGGGTAAAGTTTACCCAGCTCCTACCAGCAGCAATGGCAGCATGCCCAAAGAAAGCCCTTACCTCGGTCGCCGCCGCGTCGTCGTCGTCGGCGCCGCGGGCGCCGGAGCGCGCGCGCCGGGCCGGGGCTTGAGCTGGAGCCGCTTCGGGTCGATGCCGCGCTCGCGCGCGAGGGCCGCGGCCTTGGACGACCGCGGCGCGACGGGGCGGCCGAAGATGGACGTCGCCTTGGGCGCCGCCGCCGCGCGCCGGGGCCGCGCAAAGGTCACGGCCCTCGCCGCCGCGGCGTCGTCGGGATGCGGCGGCAGCAGCTCGATCGCGAGGCCGAGGCGCCGGCCCATGCCGTCGCGCTCCTTGGCGTCCTTCCGCACGGCGCGGTGCCGCTTCCGCAGCGCGCGGTTCGCGCCGTAGTCGTCGTAGAAGCGCTCCGCGCGGCCCCAGTCCTCCGCGAGCTCGCCGGCGGCGCGCTTCGCCTTCGCCTTGTCGTCCCGCGTGCGCTCGAGCGTCGCCATGGGGTCGCGCCGCTTCGCGAGGGCGGCCTCCTGGGCCCGGTGGTCCGTGTCGCCGAGGAGGCGCGCGCCGTCGGCCGCGTCCTCTGCGTACGACTCGACCTTGCGGCGGATGCCGGACGCAAAGTCGTAGTCCGACTTCGCGGGGTCCGTCTTTATGACGAACTTGGTCGTGCAGGACGGGCACTGCATCGTGAACTTCCAGACCGTCGTGCTGTGGTACTTGCCGTCGGCGTCCTTCTTCGCGTTGAAGCGCACGCCCTTGCCGACGTGGCGCCCGCAGCCCTCGCACCATCCGTCGAACGGCAGCTCGAAGCGGATGAGGCCCTCCTGCTCGTACTGGTTCCGGCCCCGCGTGTCGCCCGTGTGCTGCGACAGGGATTCCTTCGACGGGTCCCAGTTCGGCGGGTAGTAGAAGTTGTCGGCGCGGGCCGCGCTGAGCGTCGACATGGTCGCTTAGGTCGTGGGCTCGGCGCGCGGTCGGTCCGCGCGGAGATTTGCTGTTCGGTGAGAGAGCCGCGGCGGCGCCGACTCCTCGCGCGAGGGGGGCGGCGGGGCGCGCCCAGGGCGCCGTGCGCTTGACGAGGACGACGACGCGGAGCAGCTTCGGCCGCCGCGGCGCCGTCCCGCACCAATCACCTCGTCTTCGGGCGCAGCGGCGCGCGCGCGTTGGACCACCGCCCGCAGTGAAACGATGCGGGGCGTCGGCGCCTTCGCGTGGCTGCTCGTCGCGGCGCTCGCCGGCGCCAACGAGGTGTGCATCGACAAGCAGACCGGCGCCCTGTCGAGCGGCCACTTCGTCGTCGACCCGGCGCCGCACTCGCCCAAGGGACAGAACTGCTACTCGATCCATCCGCCGACGAAGCCGGCACGAGGATTCCTCGACCCCATGCGCATCTGGGACTTTGCGACGAGCGCGCGCCCGCGTCGGCCGTCGGTCGCTCGAGAGCGTCGCCGCGAGCCCTTTCCGTCGAATCCACGCCGGCGGCCGCGAGCCCTGGCCATCGAAACGAGCGCGCTAACGCCGCCGCCTCCCCGCCGCAGGCCAGCCGTGGTACAACTACTGCCTCCTCGCGTGGATCCTCTCCGCGGTCGAGAAGTACTTCGAGTGACGGCCGCCGCGCGAGACTAGTATAGACTTTACTCCTTCTTCTTGTCGCCGCCGCCGAAGAACTTCATGAGGCCGCCCATGAAGTCGGCGGACTCGTCGACCTCGCCGGACTCGAAGTAGGTGCCCTTGGAGTTGTCGAAGGAGCCGTACTCCTTGCCGTCCTTCGTGATGAACCGGTTCTCGTCGAGCTCGAACTTCAAAGCGCCCGTCTCCTCGTCGACGCCCTTGAAGGTGCCGAGGTTCGGGGCGCCGAGACCCAGGGCGACGAGATCCCGCAAGCCATCCATGGTGATCTTGCCCTTGCGCTCGTCCGTGTCCTCGGGCTCGTCGGCCTGCTTGTCCTGCGCTCGCCGCGCGATCGATGCGGCGCGCGGCCGCGGCGCCGGCGCGACGAAGGCGCCGGCGACGGTCGCCGCCGCGAGCAGCGCTGCGACGGCGCGCATGACTGCGGGCTGTGTCGGGAGTGCCGGCACAAGATCTCGGGGAGAGCGGAGGGTGGCGACGCAGGAATCATGCTTGATTGACTTCTCAATTACACACCTTGAAGAGATCTTGAAGACGTTGGGCAGCCCGATGTGCGGGCCCTAACATTGCAGAGGAAGGCAAGCGCCGCGGCGGATGATGGACTACGCGCAGGCGCGGGAGGCGGCGTCGCGCGCCGCCGCCGCCCACACGGCGTCGGCGTTCCAGTCGTCGCTCCACAGCGCCCTCCGGCAGCCGTCGCCCTACGAGACGCCGCGCTACGAGACGCCGCGCTACGACGCGACGCCCCGGGCCTACGGCGGCCCCGCGGGCGCCTACGACGTCAACCGGAGCGACCTGAACGTGCGGAGCGCCTACGAGGACCGGCGCGCGACGACGCCCTACGAGGAGCCGCGCGCCGCGGAGGCGCGGCCGCGGCCCTACGACTACCGGACCTCCGCGCCGCCGCCGGGCCCGCGCTACGCGTCGGCGACGCCGCCGCCGCGGTCGACGACGCTGCCGACGCACCCGCCCGTGCCGCCGCCGCAGCAGCCCTACGACCGCGACCGCGACCGCTACGCGCTCGCCGCCGCGGCGGCGCGCGCGCGGCCGCCCGACGACGCGCCCCTGGACGCGCCCTTCTCGCGGGACCTGCGGGACGCCATCGCCGAGGCGACGAACGTGTCGCGGTCCGTGCAGGCGCAGCTGAACATGCTCACGGCGGGGCAGTCCGCGCTCGACGCGCGATTGGCCAAGCTCGACGAGGAGCACGTCCCCCGCGCGGAGCGCTTCGCGCGCCAGGCCGCGCGCCGCGCCGACGAGGTCGTCGAATCCGTGACGGCGGCGAAGCGCGCCTTCGTCGAGCGCGCGGCCGCCGACGACGCGGCCGCGCGCAACGTGCGGAGCTCTATTTCGGCCTTGCGACTGGCGCTCGAGGACCGGCCGACGCGGCGCGCGGCCGTGGACCTCGCGCGCGACGGCGCGCGGCGCTACTGCGAGTCGGACCCGGAGGCCGAGGCCTGGGTGCGGCGCGCGGCCCGCGCGGCGCTCGCGCAGACGCTCGAGGGCGGCTCGCGCGCGGGCGACGCCGTCGCGGCCGAGCTCGAGAGCCGCGTCGCCTCCTTGGCGAGCGACGCGGCGCAGCGCGCGGCCGCGCGCGCCGTCGACGACGCGCTGCGCGACGGCGCGGCCTTCGAGGCCGCGGGGCGCCGCGTCGCCGAGGACGCGGAGCGCGCCGTGTCCGACCGCGCGACGCGCGCGCTTCTGCCGAAGCTCAAAGACGAGCTCGCGGCGTCCGCGGACGCGGCCGCGCGCGACGCCTTCGCGGCCCTCGCCGCGCAGCGCGACCGGAGCCGCGACGACGCGCTCGCCGCCGCCGTCGCCGCGGCCGCGGACGCGGCGAAGCGGTGCGAGGCGCACGAGACCGCCGCGTCGGCGTTCGTCGACGCCGGCGAGTTCTCGCGGCGTTTTTTACGGCCGACCTTTTTCTCAAAAAAGAGACGTTCTTATAATAGGCGAGAAGAGCGTCGACGCGCTGCGGCGGCGCGTCGACGACGTCGACCGGGAACACCGGGACCGCGCGCGCGAGGCCGAGGCGAGCCGGCGCCGCGACCTCGACGCGCTCCGGGCGCCCGTCGAGGACTGGCGCCAGGCCCTCGCGGCGCTCGAGGCGCGCGTCGCCGGCGCGGAGCGGCGCGCGGACGACGCCGCGGCGGCGACGGCGAGCGGCCGCGAGGAGGCCGCGGAGCTGCGGACGTCGCGCGACGGCGAGCGCGAGGCCGCGTCCGCCGCGGGCGCCAAGGCCGACGCCGCGGCGACGCGCGCCGAGGACGCGGCGGAGCGCGCGGACAAGGCGTCGGCCGCGGCGACGGCCGCGGGCCGCGCGGCCGCGGACGCGCGGCGCCTCGGCGAGGAGGCGCGCAAGGGGTCCGAGGACGCGTCCGCGGGCGCCGCGGACGCCGCCGCGGACGCGCGCGGCGCGCGCGAGCTCGCCGCGGACGCCAAGGCCGTCGCCGCGGACGCGCACGCGGGCCTCCGGGGCCGCGACGACCGCCTCGCGGACCTCGAGGCGCGCGTGGCCCAGCTCGCGGGGCAGCTCGCGGCGCGCGGCGGCGGCGCGCCGGCCCCGGCCGCCGCGGCGCCGCCGGCCGACGCCGGCGCGCTCGACGACCTCCGGGGCGCCGTCGAGGCGACGAACGACGCCGTGCGGCGGCTCGCGGACCGCGTCGCGCGCCTCGAGGCCGGCCGGGACGAGAAGGACGACGGCGACAGCGACATCACGACGGAGGACCCCCTCGAGAAGGACCGCGCCGGGGCGCCCGCGGCGCCCGCGCCCGCGCCCGCGCCCGCGGCGACGCCCGAGGCCGACGACGACGACGACGACGACGCCGACGACGACACGATCAAGTCGGGCGGGTCGACGACGCCGGGCGCCGCGAGCCGCCCGGCGGCCTACGCGGCGAAGCCGACGACCTTCGGCCTGCCGAGCCTCGGCGCCGCGAGCCTCCAGCGGTCGCCGCGGAGCCGCGCGTCCTTCGCCGGGGGCCACCGGCCGCCGCCGCTGCCCGTCGGCCCGCCGCCCGCCCCCGCGCCCGCGCCCCAGAAGCCCCCGGACGCGGCGCCCCAGAAGCCCCCGGACCCGGCGCCCGAGGACCCGGCGCCCGGCGAGGGCTTCGACGACGACGACGAGGAGGACGAAGCGGACGAAGCGCCGGCGGACGCGCCGGCGCCGGCGCCGGAGGACGACGGCGCATCCTCCGGCGCGCCGCGGTCGCGGGGCGCGTCGCTCGACGAGCCGGCGCCGCCGCGGTCGCGCGGCGCGTCGCCCGTGCCCGACGCGGGCCCCGCGGGCGCGGTGCTCACGGCGCCCGCGAAGCCCCCCGCGGC